AAAAAAAAACAAACCCAAAAAAAAACATTTTTTTTTTGGGGGGGGCCAGGGGAAAAAAAAAAAAAAAAAAAAAAAAAAAAAAAACAACAACAGGATCGGTTGGGTAAATTGAAAGGGATTCGTCTTGCTTTGTTTAGCTGATCAAATGTGTCAAACGGAATAATGGATTTATTCTCATAATCTTTGTTTACATCAGTCAAATGATTTATTGATTTATTTTATATAGAGAAGGTTTGAATTTCAAACCATTATTCAATAAAACTAATAAATTAATTAAGATTTAGGTCGTTGTTGTTGTTTTTATGATGTTTGCTATGATGATGATGATGATAATTGAATATTTGTAAACAAAATTAATCATTTTCGATGTGATCGAATAGATTTCTGTTTATTGTTGACATTTTTTTTGATATGAATGCCGGATATTATGAAATTAATCATATTCATTTTTTTCTCTCTCTCCTTTAATACATTATTTAGGCTCAACCACATTCATCCGATCAACCGCAAAGTAGTCAACAAAAATCATCACGAAAAAAATATGTACGACGACGACGAACACGAACAAGTCGTAATCGACCATGGAGCTATCATGCTGATTGGACTGCATGGGATTATTATCAGACACCATTTTTTTGTGATCATTTTAGTAATGAAGATTTGAATGATGATAATGAAAATATCATTCGAAAATTAACAGAATTTGGTGAAAATTATGAATCATGGATTAATAATGAATTAGATTTGACCGATATAGACATTCATGGTAATGATTATTTTATTCGTTTTTATAATTTATTCTAATCACAATATTTCCTGTTTTGATAAAATATATAGATCAAAAACCGGCTGTTGTAATTGAAAAACCAGAAATTGAAGAACAACTACAACAACAACCATCATCAATGTTAAATGTTGTGGCTGTTGAAAAAGCCGATGCATGTACGGCTACATCACCAATACCATTTTTGGATAAAGAATGTCAAGTAATTAATGATGAACTACAAACGTGTTACAATAACAATGAAAAAGATGATAAAACAACCAACAATGATGACAAGAAAAGCGTAACTAAACAGAATAAATGCACAGAGACACGTTCGACACATATGATTGATTCATCATGTCAGCCAATGTCTTGTCCGCCATCTCCAACATCGACAACATCATTATGTACATCATCAAACAAAAAGGGTAAAGATTCGAAAGCAACAATACCGACAATCAAGATTAAACCGAATCGTTCAGTAAGAAAATCTGAAAATAATAATGTTGATGATATTATAAGACGATCACCATCGCCATTATTGATGAAAAAATTATCAGTATCTAACAATAAAATAGGATTGGTATCGAAATCAACATCAACATCATCTATTACAACAATTTGTAACAATTGTACTTGTGGCCATAATAATAATTCTTCATCATATTCATCGATAAAGTTTTATACAAGCATTGCATTGGCTGGTCTATTGTCTTTTCTGATTGCTGTAACACAATTCTCACCCGATATACAAAAAACATATCCACGACCACCACCACTTTAAAATGAAATGAGACAATGGGAAAAAACCATCATCATGATCTTTCATTTGTCCATGAAAAAAAATACAAAAAAAATCATGAATACAAGATGTTCTAACCTTGATCTTTTTTTTGTTTCATTCATTCATCCATTCATGATCATGAAACAAAAGAAAAAAAATTGATAATGATGAAAAAGATGATGGTCGCTTTCCATCATAATCATTATCATCATCATCATCATACCAAAAAAATACCTCATCTTAAAAAAATATAAAACTCTTAATATACACTAATATAAAATCATGGAACTATTTTCATGGTAATGATTTCATAATATTATTTAGTATTCAAAGAGATATTGAAAAAGAAACATCAAGAAAAAAAAGTTGAATATATATAAAATAACAAAGAATCGACATCATTTTCATCAAAAAAAAAACAACCAAAGAAAAAAAAACAAAATTCATCTCATGAATATCTTATCATCGTAATAATAATTTTTTTTAAAAAAAACATCAACGTATAATAGTAATTTACACTCAAAATCATTACTAATTTACGATTACAATAACATCATAAAACTGGCTATGAATGAAACAATAATCAATATGAAAAAAACATGAAAAAATAAAAAAAAATCTACATCAACATGATCATCATTATCAGGATTTTCATTAATTTCATCATAATCTATCTATTTGATAATAATTTTTTTGTTTTGATCTAAATAATTCTATGATTACAATTCATCGAGATTAATCATGATTAATATTTTTTTGTTCAATGATGAATTGGTTTTTATCTCTCATTAATTAACGCTCAATACATAAATATATGATGGTCGAAAAAATAACAAAAAAAAAATCTTTGAAAAAAATGACCAACACTCAAACACAAACAATTATTGATGAAAATATCGTGCCTTATCTTAAATATCACTTATTCATCTATATTCATTATCAACATTTATTGTCATCAACATATTCATCAAGCAAATAATCAATCCATTCATATTGGCATAGAGAGAGAGAAAAAACAAAATTTTCTATAGATTTATACCATTTATGACATATATTCGAATTAAATGGATAAATTTTCTTTAAAAATTTGATACAACTTTATTCTATTGTTATTGGATCAACAACAAAGAAAAATGGAAATGATCATCATGATTATTCTGGCTATAATTATTGATGAAGAAGTTGGAGAAAGAAAAAAAAATTCCCATTAAATAAAATTACGAAATTTACCAAAACTACAATTTTGATTTTGTTACATTTTCATTTGACCACAAACATACACACGCAATCAACACAAATGGCTGTTTATGATGGCAATGTTTTTTTTTTCATGAAAGAATTTTTCCTTATTTATTCTATTTGCATTCATCAAAAAATTAATTGTTTTTTTTTCTAATTGATTAATTGTTTTTTTTTGTCACAAGACATGTTTCTTTTTTTCCTTTTTTTTTCATTTTCTTTTTTATTTTTATTAATTATAATTGGTAAAAACGAAAACAGCAACAAAATCAAAAACGTCTTCTTAATTGTAAATTCTAGTCTATTTTATTTCTCTCTCTCTCTCTCTTTTCTTAATCAGATAATGACCGTAAAAATGACAGAAAATTTTGTGAAAATATTTTGATTGGCAAAACAATATAGACAACAATAACAACGATAACATCCAAACGCATACTTTATACATTTTCAATATTTAATCAAATAGATTTGGTAATACACTGCTACGGATATGGTTATACTGAATATGATAATTTTTTTAAAAATGTTTAAACTACAATATTATTTTCAAAAAAAAATTGATAATGTCTTTGGCCAAAATCAAATTTTCAATTATCAATATTTTTCTATTATAACAACACATGAGAATTTTTTTATACTTTTGATTATATTGACTTTTCTTTTTGATACAATTTTTTTTGAAAAATAAAGTTTTTTTTTGCAAAATTCAAAATAATTTTCGTGTAATTTATGTGTTTAAGTAACGGATAACCAGGTAAACGAAAACGAAAAAAGAAACTTTATTTCGATGATAACTAATTTCACTTGTCGCTTAAACAAGAATTATGGCTTAAAGAACCACCGTCTTTCATGTTGTTGCTATGAATAGATCTATACGAGAAAACACAAACATAAACATGCCAATATAAGTGATAGCAAGCTATAAAAAAACCAAATGAGAAAATTAATATAATGATAGTAATTAATTAATCATTCTAAATACATTGAATATGAAAATGTTGGTAACAACACCAATAGTCGAAGCATATGGACCATATTTTCGCCCGTTTGTTAGTCGATTGAATAGATCATCATATTTTAACTTTAGTCGTAAAGTTTTCGTTAACATACAATCACTATTGTTTGGTGGTTTGCAAATTATCGCGGTTGATTGTATGACAGGTATAAGATTAAATTTTGCTTTATGCAAAAGGGTCGCTTGTCTTGATAATTGTAACAGAGACACAATCGTCATTATTGCATGGACAACAGTGATTAAATACTGGACCATTTTTTCTCCCCAGGTCAATTGTTCGACCATTAAACCGGATACAGCTATGACATTAAATGGAATGCTTATGATTAAATAGCTGAATAAGGCATTACCCCACAATTCCTGATATGAATATAGTTTATCCACACAAGCATAACCATGCTGGTGATAAATCCAATCCAAAAAATGTATTGTTCGGTCCATCAAAGGTCTCAGTGACTTTTTCATCGTAGTGAATTGACCATTACGTACTCGGAAACTAAAAGCTATTCGCCATAATTGGTTATTCAGACGATTCATTCGAGTTTTGAGAAATGTACCACCAATAAGAGAAAGTATAACAAAGAATAATCCACATTGAACCACAACGAAAAGATTGTTTGCAGTAATTATCAAATCAAATGTTTGAAGAACTATGATTATGAAATTTTTGTTCTTAGATATGATGGACCGATGTATATCATAACAAACAATTAAACTTATAAAAACTAAACAGAAAGTTGAAATTAAGGAAATTACATGAGTTATGATTAACTTACGAAGTACCATATGAAATATGATTATAATTGGATTGATAAGCCTTAACACTTTGATTATCTCAATTCGATCATCAAAGACAACGCTTTGTTGTAATTTTAATGGCTGTATTTGCATCCATTTTTCAGGGTCGATTTGTTCTGGATTCATTTTGACATATATTTGCCATAATCTTTTACATCGACAAAACAATCGAATTAGAATATCTGGAACGAAACATAATTTGAGAATATTTTTGTAATCTTCATGAAATTTTTTTTCAATAATCCTTTTGATCTCAGATTTAGATCGTTGACATTGTTGGAATTGTTCCATATTGTGCACCACCAATTCATACATTGTTCTAAATGTAATAGTATCAACTCGAGAAAAGTAGAATGTAAATTTGCCAAGAACGCCCAATAATGCCAATAAAACACAAAACATAAGATATTGTCGAAATAATTGTCGGAATGATTGAACTAAATAAATACACAGTGGATCCATAATGAAAATTAGATTGAAAGTTTCGTCAATCATATGAATGATCATTCCGACTGTAATTCGTATGGTAAAAGTTATAAGTATAACAGTTTCGGATGCATGCTTTATTCGATACCATCGATTATATCGACATTCAACAATTTCTTTCAATTGATAATAAATAAGTTGATGAATTTTTAACATCATTTTGAATATAAATTTGAATGAGGATAATGCAAAAAAATAGAAATAATTAGTATTATGTTAGATACCTTCTGCATTACAAATGAATTTTCTTTTTGAAATTACATTGGTTTCGAATGGAAAACAATTTCGAAAAAAATATGCTAATGAATTACCATTTTGAAACAATTCTTTAAAACTTTTGTATTAAAATACAAGTTTCTTTTGACAACGTTTCCTTAATTGTTATTATTCATTATATTTTTTTCAATTATTTGAAACTATTCTATGAAAAAAACCAGTGTAATTTGGTTAAAATTTTAATTTTATTCAAGGATTTTTTAGACGAAAATACAAGATGAAGAACAGAAACTTCTTGAGAATTCTTTATAAAATAATAATGAAAAAGTTAGATTGAAGTCAACTGATCAATAAAAAAGAAAATTAAAAACAAACATTATGATTTATTTTTTTAATAAAACAAAATTCTCGAAAATTTGAATTTCAACACATATGAATTATTTTCAAAGATCAAATAAAAGATGAATATTTACGAAAATTTTTGAATTTTAGTTATGAAAATAAAAATTCAAATCTAAGTCGTCGGCATTCTAAAATTAGACCTGATTATAGCACAAATTATTGTTACAATTAATATCATTATGAACATCGATAAATTACAAAGAAATATACTTAAAGAAATCTTACTGGTTTTGGAATTAACTATTATATTCGATTTATTGAATGAAACACAATTCAGAAAAAAATTATCGATTCAAATAATTTTCCAGTGAAAAAAAGTTGTTAATTTATAGAGAATTTATTCATTTTGAAAACGTTCATCAAATTCATCATCATCTAAAATTATTCAACGATTTTACCGTTTTAATTCGCTGTAAATTTCGATTTTATTTTTTGTTGTTTTTTTTTAATTATAAAAGTCACAAAATAAAGTACAGGAACTTATTATCGAGAATTTTTTCTTCATGTAATAGCTTAATGGCGCTCCAAATTTCATTAGAGACAATAAAATGGAAAAATTACAAACAAACATAATGATAAAACAAGAAAAAAATCGTTTTAAAATAATGGAAAATGTTTTTTTTTCTCAAAATGTGATTCTCGCCGTTGTACAATTTCTTTTAAAATTGCACCCTAAGTGACAGAATAACAAAGGTTATGTAAAGTTTTTCATTTTGAAAAAATATTAATGATTTGATGATTGATGATTGTAAACTTTATGAACTAAATTAGCTGAAAAAAATGTCATTGACAAAACTATATTCATTAATATTTCTTTTTAAAACAAAAAAAAATTATGTTTTTTTTTCACTTTTAAAAACAATTTCTTCGGAACTTTAATATTCTTGACATAATTTTTTGAGTTTATCGATTTTCGAACCGAAATTCAAACCAATTTATGGATTAGTTTTTGAATCTGATGAATTAATTGATTACTTGGTTACTAATTTCTTAAGGCAATATATTCTTAGCAGTGAATTGTCTCTATGTATTAACTATGAATATATCCATACGAGAAAACACAAAGATAAACATACCGATATAAGAGAGAGCAAGCTAAATGCATGAAGAGAAAAAACAAAACAAAATAAGAAATTTAATTATTAAAATCAGTTCATCATAATTACATTGAAAATAAACATATGAGTTATAACCCCGATAGTTGCTGCATATGGACCATATTTTCGTCCGTTTGTTAGTCGACTAAATAGATCATCATATTTCAATTTTAGTCGTAATGTTTTCGTTGACATACAAACAATATTGTCTGGTGATTTGTAAATTACCGCTGTTGATTGTATGATAGGTACAAAATATAATTTTGCTTGATGCAAAATTGTTGCTTGCTTTGATAACTGCATCAGTGACACAATCGTCATTATGGCATGCGTACCAATAATCATATACTGGACCATAGTTTCTCCCCAGGTCAATTGCTCGACCATTAAACCGGATACAGCTATGACATTGAATGGTACGCTTATGATTAAATAGCCAAATAAAGCGTTACTCCATAATTCCTGATAAGAATATAGTTTATCCACACAAGCATAACCATGCTGGCGATAAATCCAATCCAAAAAATGTATTGCTCGATCTGACATTGGTTCAAGTGATTTTTTTGTCCAAATATATTGACCATTACGCATTCGACAACCAAAAGCTAATCGTCGTAATTGATCATTCAGACGATGCATTCTGATTTTGAGAAATGTGCCGCTAATGAGGGAAATTGTAACAAAAAACAATCCACATTGAACGATAACAAATGCACTGTGTATATTAATAAACAAATCGATTGTTTGCAGAACTATGATTAAGAAATTTTTGTTCTTAGCTATGATGGACCGATATACATCATAACAAAGAATGAAACTTATGAAAACTAAACATAGAGTTAAAACCGAGGAAATTAAATGAGTTGTTATCAACTTACGAAGTAACAGGTGCAATATTATGATCAATGGATCGATAATCCTCAACAATTTGATCAACTTGATTCGATCATCTAAAATGACGCTTTGTTGTAATTGTAATGGTTGTATTCGAATCCATTTCTCAGTGTCGATCTGTTCCGGATTCAAGTTGACATATATTTGCCATAATATTTTACATCGACAAAACAATCGAATCAAAATATCTGGAACAAAACGAAATGAGTTGCGAATATTTTGGAATTCTTTATGAAAATTTTTTTCAATAATCCTTTTGATCTCAAATTTAGATCGTTGACATTGTTGGAATTGTTCCATATTGTGCACCACCAATTCATACATTGTTCTAAATGTAATTGTATCAACTCGAGAAAAGTAGAATGTCGATTTTCCAAGTATACCTAACAATGTCAATATTACAGCAAACATAAGATATTGTCGAAATAATTGTCGAAATGATTGAATTATATAAATGCACAATGGATCCATAATCCAAATTAGATTGAATGTTTCGTCAATCATATGAATGATCATTCCGACTGTAATTCGTATGGTATAAGTTAAAAGTATAACAGTTTCGGATGCATGCTTCATTTGATACCATCGATCATATCGACATTCAACAGTTTCTTTCAATTGATAATAAATAAGTTGACGAATTTTTAAAAACATTTTATAGAAAGATTTTATTAAATTGTTAAAAATTACAATATCTGCAATTAAAGAATTTGTTAGAGTACAAAAAGTTTCAAAGATTTCAAAGTGCTGTGTTTGATTCAGAAAAAAATGGAAACTCTCTGTCAACAGAATGTTTTTTTTCAATAATTTACCAATTGCCAATTCTAAATGAGAATAGACAAATTCGAAATGTCATGCTCGAATGAATTGAATTCATTCTAAAAGGAAATTGATTTATATAACCATTGAATGAATTGTTAGATTACAAAAAAAAATTGTCAATTTTTTAAGAATTATTATCAAAATGTACTAGTAGTATAAATTATGGAATTTTGGAAATTGTTCTCTCTATTTTTCGAATAATTATTTTCAATTCATAAAAATTATCATCCAAATTTAACAATAATAATTTTTTTTTTGCAAAACAAAAGTCATAAGATTGGTGAAGTTTAATGGAAAAAAATAATGGAATACTTTACTTTTTTAGAAAACAATGTATAGATATTCTGTTTACTACGCAATAATAATGTGTTAGAGAAATGTTACAATATATAATGTTAAGAGTTCATCGAATATTCTGACTATTGTGGTTGTTGTTTCTGGTCATTGTTTGTTGATGGTTATATGCCTAAATGTGTTCATTTTTTACATCAAATAGGAATTTTGATTCGTTTTAATTGTCAAAATCAAGATGAGATGATATAAAGATGAATATACCAACATAAGTTATCGCCATCTGTTCATGTGAGAAAAAAAATTAAAATATTATTAAATAATAAATTGTTTCATTTGTTTTTATAAACAAAATCAAATAAACATTACATTGAATATAAACATGTTTGTGATTACACCAACTGTCGAAACATTGGGTCCATATTTTCGTCCATTCGTCAATCTATTGAATAGATCACAATATTTTATTTTTAGACTTAAAATCGTGGATTGATTTTGATTAATGTCATATAATCCAAATACAACGGCTCTATTATAGATAACCAATGATTGTATGATTGGTACTAGATGGAATTTTGCTTCATTTAATAGTTTTGTTTCTCGTGAGAATTGAAACAAAGACAATACAGTTATTGCAGCATGTATTATGATGATTATATATTGTATAATCATTTCCATCCAGGTTAATTGTTCAGTGAACAAAGTGGTTACAGCGATCACATTAAATGGTATGCTTATCATTAGATAACCAAATAAAGCATTACCCCATATTTCTTGATAACAATATAGTACATCATAGCAAATATAACTATGCTGTCGATAGATATAATTCAAGAACATTATTGTTCGTCTCATCAATGGTATCATTGTAAATTTTTCATAATATACTAAATATCTATTACGTTTTCGACAAACAGATGCTATACGCTTTAATTGACGATTCAATCTATCCAAAAGACATTTTAACAATATTCCATAACAGAGTGAGAATAAGACAAAAAGCAGCCCACATTGGACAATCGCAATAACATTGTAAATGATTATAATAATATCCAACATAAGAATGATTTTGACGACAATACTATCATTGGGAAAATGATCAAAAACTGTATTATATAAATCATACATTACAATGGAACTTATGAAGACTTAATTGTGGATTAAGAAATTTTATTAGAAACATTAATACTAATTTTCTGGTAACACTTACATAAACCAATATGTAATATAGTGATGATTGGATTGATTAGTGTTAGAAATTTAATCATCTTTAAGCGATCATCAGAAATAACATGCAATTTCGTTCGTAATGGTTTTACTCGTGTCCATTTTTCACCATCAATCTGAATGGGATATTTATCCACATAAGTTTGCCATAATATTCGACATCGACAAAAAAATCGAATCAAAATATCTGGAATAAAACGATTTGATTTACTAATATTTCGGTAACTATTCTTGAAACTTTTTTCCATATTTTGGACTATTTCCGACTTGGTTAGTTTACATTCTTGAAATTGTTCAATATTATTTACCACCAATTCGTACACAGTAAGAAATGTAACTGTATCAACACGAGAAAAGAAGAATGTGAATTTACCAAAAACTCCCAATAATGTCAATATTAAAGCGAACGTTAAATATTGTCGAAACAATTGTCGAAAAGATTGAATCAGATAGAAACAAAATGGATCAATCATCCAATATTGTATGTAATTTTCATCAAACATATAACTGATCATTCCAAAAGTTATGCGCATGGAAAATATTGAAAGTAAAATGGTTTCAGATGAATGCTTTATCTGATACCATCGATTATGTCGACATTCAACAATTTCTTTAAATTGATAATAAAATAGATGATGAATTTTCCACAACATTTTGAATATCAATTTAAATCCAATGCTGATACAAATAAATGTTAACTTATCAGTATGATGATGAATACTGACGCATTACGAAAAATATACTCTATCTAAATTTTACTGATTTTTAAGAAACAATTTTGTTCAACTTATCTATTATTCAATTGACAAAAACAGAATGCAAAAAAAATCCTTTTCGAGTAATTTTCCGGCTAATGGCTTGATCGCAAAAATGTTTGTCAATTCATTAAGAATTTTTCATATTAAATTTTTAATTAAAATGATCATTTAAAACTATTCAATGAATTTCTTTGAATAATTTGCTGCAAGTTTCGATTAATTTTTCTGTAAATGTCGGAATACCAAATAAAGAACAGTAACTTTTTTATCAGTAATTCTTTATCATATGATAATAATAAAATTGAAGTTGAATGGTTGAATAGCGACCCGAATTTCATTTTTAAATAAGTAAAAAAAAAACATTTTAAAAAAAGATCATTTATACAATTTTTTAAAGTTTTCATTCTAATTTTTTTTTTTTTGAATAATTTGTTTTATTGATAAAATCAAGATGAGATAATATAAAGATGAATACACCGACATAAGTAATTACCATCTGTTTAATGAAAAAAAAGACAAATTGTTTAATTTTTTTTTATAAACTAGATCAAATAAACATTACATTGAATATAAACATATTGGTGATTACACCAATTGTTGAAACATTTGGTCCATATTTTCGTCCATTTGTCAATCTATCGAATAGATCTGCATATTTCATTTTCAAACTTAAAGTTTTTGATAGATTTAGATTATTATTATGAAATCCAAATAAAGATCCAATTCTATTTCAATTCCAATTCTATTTCATATCCATGGTTTTTTTGTTGTTGTTGTTTGGATGAATGAATCTGGTGGTGAAAATAATTCAAGGATTTTACCTTGTTTTAATTTGAAACAATATTCAGTGTATTTTGTTAAACCTAGATGGAGTGCTTTGTATAAATTCTTTTCTGTTATGAATCATGATTGAAACAACAATAGCTTCTTTATATTTCTGGAACATCTTTAATTTCTGTGGAAATTATAATTTTACACCTGTAGAATTTCATTCGAAATTTCATTTGAATAATTTTTTGTTCGATTTAAATTATAATTCTATGCAATTTATTAGTTTGATAAATGGTGCTGCTATACAAATATTTTCACCTTTTTCACCTCAAACACAATATTCTTCAGGTTACATATCTATAGTGTATTGTCTATGAAAATAAATTCTAAATTAAAAAACAAATAAGAAATGTAAATAAAAAACTGAAATGAATTGTCATTACAAAGTATATGATTTAAATTGTGATCGAAAATTTGACAATAACCTGCGTGAATAACAAGTTAAAGTTTCTTTTTTTGTTGTTGTTATTATTAAATTATTCTTATGATTACAATTAATAACAATCATCATTATGTATTAGTAAAATTAGCCATTGGTGCACGATTTTTATCCACACTAACCGAACATATTTCGACACCCGAATCAGTAAGACGACGTTCAATATAGCTGGTTATATTACCGGCTTCATCACGTTTAACTTCGACAATTTCACGTTTAACATTTTCGCCACCCGATTTGAATTCTTCGAATCCTTTTTGTACACTGCTTATCATCCGTTGTACCGTAGTGTTACCACCGCCAACAGCATCACCAATAGCAGCACCTAAAGTATCCGGAAATTCTCGTTGAAATATATTAAATTCATTCTCAATATCGCCAAGGTTACTTTTGAAACTACCACGTAGTTCCTTTTCCAGATCTCCGTAACGTCCTTTAGCATCATTGGATAGCCGATCTATATCGCCACTGATTTCACGTTTAGCATCATTCAAACCGACACGTAGATTATCATATTCACGTTCGACACCATCACGCAATGTCTGTGCTTCATTCAACAGAACACGTTTAACGGCAACGAATTCTTTTTCCACATTTTTACCAGCCGTTGCTTGTAGATTTCCGAATTCCTTTTTTACCGTTTCAACTTCATCATCGAATCCAGCTTTAACATTACCCATTTCACGTTTAATACGGCTATATTCACGTTCAGTTGAATCGGTTAAACCACGATTTAAATCTGTAAATCCACTTTTTACGTCTGTCACAATTTTTTCAATAGTTGTATCAATTTGTGGACTATTCAATGCCATACTTGATTCTGTATCATCTTCATCAGATTTTTCATTATTTTTTTTACAACGACGGCTATCAGCATATGTTTTACCATAATCTGGTGGCTTCAAACGATTCATACGACATAAATAATATAAATAGATAATCGAACCAATAAATAATAATAATGCAAGCACTAAATTTGTGCCAGTTAATCCCGGATGACGGAAAAGGAATGTAACTCCATGAGCAATTGTAACCAAACAGAATATTATAGCAAATGTTAATACCATACAGAATGATTCGAATGCAACGCCACGAATACCGATAACTAAAAATATCATTGCAATAATATCGATGATCACTGTAGCCGCTAATAATGGTGGATCATTCATAAATTTTGCTATATCAATGCCAAATGTTATCATATAAAACTAATTATAAATGGTAAAAAAATGTCCAAATTCAATTCGATTTGAAAAAATGAAATTTTTCATACTTACAACAAAACAGATAATCATAAATAATAATAATATAGCCTGTACGGAACGAAAACAACGTTCATATCGTCGGAATTTTTCCAATTTTGAATACGAATAATATTCATTTGAATCTTGATTAGCCATTTTGATTTGTTAAATTCTGTTGAATTTAAATACAAATATTTTAAGAACAATTTTTTCTCAGCAAAGGTCAATATTCCTTATTCATCACAAACACATTAGCAAATAAAATGACCAACAACAAAGAAAAAAATAACGGAAAAGACGAAAAGGTCACTTGAAATCAAATCGTAATAGCGACTATAGTGTAATCAATATTTCATCGATAAGTTTTCTTTCCAAACACTTTTACTTTATGATTATGGTTATGATATTTATTTTGATAATAATGATCATCATCATCAAATCTGAACAGAAAAAAAAAGAATTTTATTTTTGTTCGTTTGTCTTTATTTTAATGTTGTTTCTCTTTTTGTCTATCAATCTAACTATCTATATATATTTATCATGGGCGTCATACGAAATTGGATTTGAATGATGAAACAAAATCATTAAATATACAATGACAAGTACTACCACCACCACCACCACCACCATAGGCACCAAAATAACACCAGAATTGAAACCAATGTTATCCAAATCGTACCAAAATGTTCACCGTTCAATGTGAATTACAAATGAAAATATTATAGAAAAAGATAGGTAAAAATTCAATGGAATAAAATGCTTGCTTGCTTTATTATTACTATGTGTATTCGTTTGTTGGTTGATTTTGTTTTTTTTTTGCATTTAGTCGATTTTCTTGGTTGTAATTATTCTATTATATGAATATAATGGTAACTCCCTTTTTTTATTTTTTTTACCATAACCGAATACAGAACAACAACGAAAAAATGATCGAATTCGTATCCTTGGCAGCAATACACCAACCAAAACACCAGGTATGGAATTTAATTGACTATCACCAGGAAAAAAATACTTGGTATAAAAAAAAATCTTGGATCATTATCATCATCATCATTCGGAAAAAAAGTGCGCGAGCAAAAGAAAAAAGATTCAGCTGCCACTGCAATGATCTCAAAAGAACGTAACCATTTGAATCATGGATCCAACAAAAAGAAAAATGTTCTTTATTTTCTATCCAAAATGAATTCGAATGGTACCATAGATACAGCCATTATGATAATGATGACTGACAACGATTGTAGTTCAAAATACATAAAATAAAATAAATATTTGTCGCAAACAACAACAACAAGATGTAATATATTTATTTCGAATAAATAAAGAATGCGCATTCGAAAAAAAATCGGGAACTAACTAACCAAGTTGAACGAAACTGGTTTCGTTTACCATTGTGAATGATTTTTTGTTCAACAATAATCACCTTCACCCGAATAATATTTGTATTCTTTGTCTGTCATGTTATGGCTATGGTGCATTGCAGAACTTTCATTATGAAAATGTTACCACCACTGATCAGATTTGATTCTATATCGTTAAAATCTGGTCATTCCATTCGACTGACTAGTGGTGGTTCAACTTGTCAATTTTTCTGAAACTACAGCAGTTTTTTCGACTGATAGTTTGACATTCAATCTGTATTTTTTCTTCTTTGCATTCCTCACTCTCTTGCTATCCAATAATATTCCGATTCAATTCTATTATATTGTCTAATGGATCAATTGTATTTGATTAGAAAAATGCAATGTAATAAAACTAAACATACAAATAGAATAGAATTTCTAATTCATCAGTTTTTGATTTTTCAAACGAATGGATTTGATTTAAAATGATATCTCACAGGAAAAAAATAGGGAACATTATTTTTTGCTAATCTTTTATGGATTAGTTGATTTGTTTATCGTTTTGGATAACATAAATTATTGAATTTGGCTGTTGGTCGGGAAGCAAATTTGAAGATAATTGATAGTTAAAGAAACCGTCAATTACCGTTTCGATTTATCTGCCATCTATAGTCGTTCAAATCAACATTATAATTTTAATTTCAAATTTGAAACAATGTAATGAATTATTATGTAATGAATTAATTTTATTCATTCGGTATAATCGGTATTGGATAATTTTCATGATGATATTTCTTTTTTTAATGATATTCATCAATGTTTTTTTCTGACTATTTAAGATCAAAATTAAAAGAAAACAAAACGCACTAATTATTCAGTATCCGTGTTGTAAAAAAAAAAACATTTTTTTTTGATGTTGTCCTTTAATTATCATTCAATATCGATCATGTTCGTTCAAATTATTACATATTCAATGAGCTATTTAATTAGTTGACTATAATATTGATACAAAATAATTATTATCATTGAATTAAAATATTCTTAAATTTTATTATTTACAACGATAGATAACTTGAAATTTATTGATTTTTTTCATGTCCTTAGCATTTTTCGATTCTGTATTCGAATAAAATCGTTTTTTGTTTCTTGATGAATTTCCTCATTCATTTATGTTTTGTACGCACTTAAACACGCATACATCGTTTATTGTTAAAAGTATGGAAAAATCTGGAATCAAAAATTCATTATTGAAAAATTTCATCTTTATCTATGGGTAAGTTATTGAAACCAAAAAGATTTAAGGAAAAAAAACAAAATCTAAAACATTTTCAATCGATCAGAATATATGCTATACCTTTGCGATCATATGGATGGCAAAATATTCATTGGATATTGATAAATATTATTATCAATCTATGGTCATTTCTATATGTTTATGATGTAACAACTGCCGAAGTTCAGAAATTATCAACACAAGTCAATGAACAACCTTTATTTATTTATTATGTAAAATTACATCATCATGTTTTAATGCCAATGATATTTACCAATTTTATATGGCATTATTTTCGTAAAGGTTATCAAATAATGAAATGTTTTGATCATCCATTATTAACAATTACAATGTATCGTTATCGATCGCAATCATTGTTCTATGCTGTTTCCGTTGAATTGTTTATGAACAGTGTTTATATATTAAGTCGTTGGAATTTAATACGATCCTTTTATTCGACAGGTGATTGGGAAAATGTTTATGTATTCATTTCATTCTTTATATTTGTCTGTTATCTACGTATTACATGGTTATTAATGTTATATCAACAGATTTTTATCAATCTAACATTGAAACAATATCAGGAAAATTTTTTACACGATTGTCAACGAAATTCGAATCTTATTTATCATAAAAAACGTTTATTTATTCATGTTAAAAATCTTGCACAATTAAATGGTCATATACAAAAATTAATGTCGCCAATAATGTTCATAGCATTTATTAGTGAATCATTACATGTTGTCGATACATTGAATCAATTTTTGATCAAAGGTTTTTTAAATTATTGGAATAAAGTTATCGAACGAATTATACGAACATTATTATATATTGGTATTTGTTGGCTGAATAATGAAAATCTACATCAATTTAGATGTATACAGAATTTTCTTCTATGTCGAAAAAATGATCTCAAACAAATACAATTATATACACATAATAAAAGAATACCAATAATGATTAATGATCGTTCAACAATGGCTATTTATTCAAAATTTAATTCATTAAAAATTTATCGTGAATTATTTCAATTACCTGTACATTATTTATTCACCATAAATGCATCTGTTTGTCTAAATTGGTTCTTCTTTCTCATCAGTTATGTATCGCTTATCTATCAAACACGAAATCAATAAATTTAAAATTAAATAAAATAAAAATTGTCATAAATAAAATTAAAATTTATTCATTTATTGTGAACAGTTCTTAATCGGTTGTTAATATTCTGATCATAAATGTTGAAAATTCTTGACCATAATTTCGATAGACCCATACTTTCACCGATTCTATTCGTATTATTGTTATTTAAAACGTTACCAAATAATCGTCTAGAATTTGTCTGTATTGTTCTCTGCATTTTTGCCATACCATTCGTAGCGGTTGTTTTAGCCTGACGAAACATATTATTAAATATTTCTCCAATATCGGTAATTGATTGTCGTTTTGTACGTTTTTTGATCATCAATTCATCTTTTCGATTATTGATTTATTGAATTTGTATACAACGATTCATATGAAAAAAATATATAGAATTTCAGTTTTATTCAATCACATTAAATAGAAAAAAAATCGATAGATTCAATAATAAATTCAATATTTGAAAATTCGATCAATTGCCAATTTCATTACCTGGTTCAAAAGTATCATTATCATCATGATGATGGTAGTGATGATGATGACGATTACGACGACGATAACGTCGAAAACGTTGCTTATTATAATGATCTCGATCATTATCATCATCTCCAGAATCGATTGGACGAATTTTCCATCGAATTTTCATTTCCGCAACAAAACCTTGAAATTTTGGCGAAAATTTTTCCAATTGATCAATTTTCGGGGAAATTTTCTTTTCATCATCCTGATCGATTTCTTGTACTAACGAACTAGTTGACAATGTTGGTTGTATTGATGATGAATGATCAATCATATTCGATGTTGGATAACTGTTGTCCATATTTTGATGTTCAATATCTTTATCCATTTGTAACATCAATGCTTGTGGTCCGAATAATTGAGCCAATGATGATAAAGTCAGTGTTGGTGGTGGTGGTGGCGGCTGCGGAGACATCAATAATGGTTTGATTGAATCAGGAATTCCAACAATCAACAATTGGTTGACAGGAATATCAGGCATTTTATCTCCATGCGAAAAAGTTGATCCATATGATAATGGCAATTGTTGTTGATCGATTTCAAAGCATTCAAATGAAATTATCATCATTGCCATAATGACAATGATGATGACAGGAATCCTGATCATTTTGGATATTGCCATCATAATCATCGTGTTAGATAATAAATGTAGATACTAAAATGAAATACAAAATGATTTTATTCAAAGTTTTTTATATTAAAATTCAAATCAATCAACACGTTCAACCAATTTCAAACGAAAACAACAAATCGGCTGATTAAACATTCATTCGTTTTGGAACATCGATTTTGATTAAAATCCAGGTACAATCAATCATCTGTACAAATAAACAAAATTGAAAAAAAATCTGTTCAAATTATTAGCAATGATTATTGTCAATTATTATTCAATTCAACAATGGTAAACAACTTTTACTTTTTTTTCAAAGAAAACTAATTTTCGAAAAAAATCGACAATCATCATTCAAAAGTAAATAATATGAATTGCAAATATATTTTTTTTTATTTCAATGGGAATCAACTTAATAAATGGTTTTTTCTGTTGTAAAAATTAAAATTTTTAAACGATAAACACAAAAATTAAAAAAAAAGAATGGAAGAATTTACAAATAAAAATTAATCATTTCAAATCTCTTCTGATGTTACAACACGAAAAATTAATGTTTCATCAAATTCTTCTTCTTTGAATTCATTTTTAAGTACACTTTTCTTGATTTTTGCTACACATTCTTGTAATGATTCGACGGCTCCAGAACCCATTATTTTAAGACATTTTTCCAGAATAGGTGAATTTTCTTCACGTAATTTTAATAATGATATTAATGCTTGTTCAGCAAATGCTCGTACTGCAGTATTCTTTTCTTTTGTACCATTGACCAATTGCGGTACCATTAAAAGTAATACCTGATCCGGTATATCTTTGTTGCTAGGAAATCGATTTGCCCAGAATATTGTACCTTGATTCATTGCCTGTTTAACTTCATTTCGTTGATGATTCATTGTCTATAAAATATTAAATGAAAAAAAATTGAAACACATTTTTATAGGGATTTATAAGAAAACAAACCTTGGCATAAGTATGAAGAAGATTTTTATCAATAACTAAATCATTTTGTAATGAATAATGAATAATATATGTTGCGCATTTGATGCCATAAATAGCAAGCTGATAAATTGATGAGCTGATCAAGCTTAAAACATTTTGATGTATCATTGTCGACCAATCACTGTTTCGACCTAAAGTTCGATGAGCAGCATCTTTCAATGCAATTGCTAGAACAATAGCCCGAAATTTTCGTGCATGTTGAATGAAATTTACTTCATCCTGCAATAAAAATTTATGACCAATTTCATCCAATAATTCATCATCGACAACTCGACACAACGCTCCGATGACCGGTGCAGCCGTTTGTTGAATTTCATTTTTCATTTCTTCTTTATATTCGTTGGCATATTCATATAGTTGACGATGTACAGATGAAGAAAATCGCTCGCCAGCTGTAACAATAGCTAATCTAAGTCCGAAGAAGCCCGTTTCTTTCAAATAAGGTGGTTCAATTGGACAACTCTTATTCAATGCCAATAATTCGGTGAGAAAAGAATCTGGTTTCGGATGAATCGGAATGAATCGACTAATACAAGTCGCTGCTTGTAATCGAAGCGCTCTTTTCGATTCAAACGATGATCTAAAAAATATCATCTGAATTTGTGGATAAAACGGTTTGAGGAAAACACCCATCTTCATCAACAATAATGAAAGGACATCGATGACAATGATTTTTACATCATCTTTTGGATGATCACATAATAATCGCAACATAGAGCCACAAAGAATCATAGATGATGGTTTCAATGCTTCGGGACTAGAATGTATGACAATCATACGATGAGCATTGGAGCCAATAAGACGAAGTTCGAAATTATTTCCAGTGATAGATTTGTTGAATAAAATCAATAATGCCTGAATAGCTTTGTTGAACAAAAATCCGGGAAAATAAAAATCAGGATTATCAACATATCGATAATTGCTTGTTAAAGGTGAATATGAATAGGTAAATACACCCATTCGGCGATAATTTTCCGGTAATCTTTCATTCAACGTATTATATAATTTACGATAAACTTCCGGTATAACTTCGACCTGTTGCCATTTATCAAGATTTTTAATGATTGCAGCCATTGCTTCACTTGCTTTAGATAAAATACATTCATCATTTGAAGCAAAAAAATCTATCAAATATGTCAATATTGTTGAATTGAATTCTGAGGTTGTTCCGGGTTTAGATTGTTTACAATAATGTGTTAATAACATGATTGCTGCTCGTTTTTTATTTAAATTATCGGATTTACTTGCATCCAATAATGTTAGTATTACAGTACGAGCGCCTTCTTCATCCGATATTGAAACTATTACATTTTGACAATATTCCAATTGCTAAAATTAAAAAAGGAGATAAAAAATTGAAGGAAAAATTTTTTGATTATAAATAATGACAATACCTCATCAAAATTAGGACTATTAAACGATTCGCTCAATGATGACAATAAAGGTGGCATAACAAGATGTAAATGCTTAGAGAAAGATTCACCAGCGACCGAAGCAATTATGGACAATGCTCGAGTATTTACCGGTTTTGTCGTTAACTGTTTTTTTTGTGAAAAATGATTAAATAACTGATTAATATAAAAAAATATTTAGTTACCTTTGGAATGAGATTAGGCAGAACTACTCGACTTTTGTACGAGATTATTGCTTTCAAACTATCGAGAACACGATCACCATATATTGGATCATCAATATGATTCAATAAATAATTGAGTATATCGCTCAAACATTTATCACCAATTGCTGAATGTAAATGATCAAAACTTTGCGCGGCTGCTTGTCGTACTTCGGGTAATTCATCAAACAATGCTTTGCGAACAGTGGCGATAAAATTATCGGCAAAAGCTTGAATCATTTCTCTACTGGTAGAAATGATTATTTCACTAAGACCAATGCAAACACCTTGACGTTGATCTGGTCGATCTGATTTGAGACCATCTTCAAGAATGGGTATAATTTCTGGTAGAATACGTTCACCAAGTTTGCGAACCAAATCACCCAATGTTCGAGCTCCGATTTGTTGTCGATCATGAGAATTACTGGCCAAACATTCCAACAGTAATGAAAATAAAACAGGTAATATTTCACGTAATGTTCTCGGCGTATTCGGAACAATGACTTTCCAAACATGAAGTGATGCTTGTCGAACTTGTAATGACACATCAGATCGACCCATATAAAGACCGGAAAGAACACGATTTCGTCGTTCTTCGCCCAATGCATCGATCAAGGCTTTATGTGATTGATCTGTACCGAAATTATCATCTTCACTTTGTGATTCGGTGGTCATCTTGCCCGTTAGACCAGTAATTTTGAACAATAAATCACCAAGAAGTTGAACTGAACTATAACGGATTCTCCAATTTTCATTGAACAATCCTCTTTCCAATTCAGGTAACAATAATTGAATGGCTGTTTCAGCATACATATTGACAATTCGTTGACCGGCACGCAACGAAGTTTCACGAACAAATTCATTTTCATCGGCTAACGCTTTAAGTATAGGATTGATAACTCGGCTGATGTAAGAAGCAAAATGTTGAGTAAAAACTGATGGCAAATAAATGTAAAGCATGATGAAACCATCTTTCACATAAGCTGGTACATCTGGATTTTCTGTAACTTCCAATATTTTGGGCATATATTTGTCCAGATGTTCTTTGCCCAAACCACCGAGAACTTCGGCCAAACCTTGAGCTGCACCAGAACGATCAACCGAACTTTGTTCTGAAATGAGCATTCGTTCTAACCATGGTCGTAAATCATCAAGTATTTCATTTCCAAGGCTGCGAACCATGGCGCCCAATGCACGAGCAGTAGCTGTTCGAACTTCAGGTACTGGATCTAACAATGAATTCTTCAGACCAGGAATGATTGACGATAGATATGGTGACAGATCTTTGCTCTTAGCCAAGGCATACATATTTCCAACAATTTGTGAAGCCATTTTTCTCGTTTCAGTAGAACGATTTTGAAAAGCTCTTTCAATCACCGGCATGATCAAAGCCAACGATGGTGGATCAATAACATGAACGAATTTCGTTTTCATCATAACGTTCAAACATTCATTGGTTTTATTGGCCGGATCTTGTAGAGCATTCAATAAAACAGGGACAATTTCTTGAATTTCTGGATTTTTGATTACTGAACCAATTTGTTTCAATGCTTCAGCTGATGATCGTTGAACTTTTGGATGTGAATCATTCAATACATCCATTAATTTAGGTACAATTTTTGGCAAACATTGTGATAATTGTCTTGGGGCACAGAAAGCCATTGATCCAAGTAGTTCGATTGAACTTGTTTTCTTACGCCATGAATCATCTTCAAGAGCCGTCAATATAGCTGGATAAATTAATGTTACGCCATAAGCAGTCAAATTCGACATAATTATTTTGGCGGTATCATCAGCAGCTTTACGAACACGTGTACTGCTATCACCAAAACAATCCAATAGATAAGGTAAAATATGTACAATGTATGGTTCGAACAATCGGCCTAACATTCGTGATAACATTTCAAAAGCGAACAAAGCACCTTCACGATTATTTGGTTTATCTTTAGCTTGTATGGCTTGAGTCAATGCATCCATGATTCCCAATTTATTGATTGATAATATTCCAAGACCTTTGACAATACCGGCAATTCCATACGCAGCTCCTTTACGTTCACCATACGAATCTGATTGGAATAAGAATGCTAGTAATTTTTGCAATAAAGCTGGAGCATCATCTTTAAATTTAGGAATCAGATATTGTAAACAATTAGCGACAGCTTCTTGCACGATTTTTGAAGGTGTCGACAAAGCTTCAACAAGTTTACTTAGAATTGGTTTCAATTTTGGATTATCACTTTCAATATGTCTAGCTAATGTTCCCATCAAAATGATAACACTTTCACGAACAATATCAGTTTCATGATCATCCGGTGCTGAATCTAAGAATGTTTCGAATGATCTGAGAAGATAGGAGATATTTTTTTCACCATGAACATTGACACATCGTCTTCCAGCATCAAGCATTGCTCGTCTAACTAATTCATTTTGATCGCTTAATGCTTCTGGCACAAGAAAATTTATGAATAATTCAAAAAGGTTATCGTCAAAAAGATGAACAATTTTTTCCAAAATGTATGCAATTGTTAATCGTGGTTCATATTGATCAGTTTGATTTTTGGTTAATGGTCGACCGAAATTATCAAGCACTGGTTTGGCAGCTGCAGCTTTCATTTGATAAAATTTTATCAATTTTGTATAGCATTCTGGCAGTTCGGATGAAAATTCTTCTATTAAAGTTTTATATGCTTCAGAAACAGGCTGTGTCATTTTTAGGTTGATAGAATCTATATCTTCATCAAGAATAACATTCAAAAACAAACGATTCGTAGTAAAATGACATAGTTTGAAAATTTGATTCGAAAATGCTTGACAATCGGGCAATATATCGAATTGTCCGATAAAACAACGATGAGCTAATTTTTGACGACAATATTCATTGTCCAGAAATAACAATACCTGTTCAGTAAGTATGAACAATGATTCAAAACTGGTAAGACGAATAAGATCATCTTGATGTGATGTATAGCTAAGTAAGACAAGTATATCACGAGGATTTGCCGTTCCACAACCAATTTCATTATTAACACTTGTGACCACTTCGATCAATGTATTGGCAACCAATTCATCACAGCCAGTATCGGCATCTTCATTTTCCATGAATGCAAATAATGTCTCCAGTATTAATTTTATTGGCAAATTTCCAGGATTTTTAAGATTATCTTCTTCTTTTTCCGTATAACAACGCATCTTAGCATGTTCGTTGATGATTAATAAACATTTCTCGACAATTTTATCATAATTATCTGAATCAGATTTGTTCATATCAAGTAAAACAAAACGAAATAATGGAAATACGAACGTGAATGCCGGTGTAGTCAAACGATTATTTTCCGTTTTTTTAACTAATTTTTCATCATAATTCTTAATATTTGGACATGTTCTATCGTAGATATATTCTATAATTTGTTCGACTAGATCGAAATAATTTTTAGAATTATCTTTCGATCTATACAGGTTGATTATGGTGTTGATGATAATTTGAACTTGTAAAGAATAATTGCCATCCACTTTGATTATGGATGAAATCATCATTTTTGAACTGATTGATCGGAAAAAATCAACAGCTTTTTCAAAAGTTAAATATGATGCAAATAGATTGACATAAGTGAAAAGGACATCCTTAAAATGAATAGATGCAACCATTGGATTCGTATCGATTATGGTTGCTAAAAGATCGGTTTCGAAGGAAAATTGTTCATACAGACTATTCAAGTGATCACGGATTTTTTTCTCTTTGGCCATTTCTTGTGCATAAATTTCTTTCTGTTTTTTCGAAAATTTTGCCGGATTGAATTCAGGCTCCTGATTTTTTCGTTTCTCTTCAAGTTCTTTACGCAATTGAATTTCGGCTAATTGTTCTTTATGTGAATATAGTTTACTTTCACGTTTAAGATTTTTATCGTCTTGGATACCACCAGCTTCGATTACCGCAGTTCGATTATAAAGATGTTCTTCAGGCGTTTTGAAAATTTCAAAATCATCTTCGGTGATTGATTTGAATTCGGTAAGATGTTTATTGATATCTTCATAAATGGTCAGTACAAAATGTTCGGCAAAACAATGTGGTTTCAATCTCATCAAAGTTCGTGATAAATTCAATCTTGTCAAACGACCAAACCATTCCTCGAATATGATTTGTGTAAATTGCTTAAAATTTCTATCAACAAATTCATCGATTTTAATTCGATCCGAAAAATGTTTATGAAGATAATCCTTAATGAAAAGATTTGGATTTTGTCGAAAAATGATTGGATGATGACAAAGATGTAGGATTGAATTAAACATTTTATCATCTTCATATAGATTACAATGATTTAGCAATGCTTGTGCACATCGCAAAATACTGTAATTATTATTAGGTTGTTGTTCCGATTCCATTTGTTGATTTTCTTGATATAGATCATTAAATATTTGAATCATTTCTGTACGAAATGATCCATCTTCCTGGCAATAAGCATTGAATTTTTCAATAGCATTATTTCGTATTATTACGGATTGATGACACATTAATAAAACAATAGCTTTATAAAGAAACGATTGATTATCTTTGTTCAAATTTTTTATATTACGAATAAGATTGAAAATAAAATCAATCAAATTGACAAGATTTTCAGGGGAAACTTGTACAATAAATTTATCGGTCAAAAATGTAATCGACATTAGATTTTGTAATGATGAGAGGAAATTTTTCATCTTTTCAGCAAGATTATTTTTCAGATGATATATTTTGAGCAATAAAAGTGAAGCATACAGACTTTCAATTACCATCGGTAATTTGGTCAAAGCTGTTGAAACATTTTTTGCTGAATTTAAAATGAATGTTAAAATAGAATCGTCAATCTTGTCAATATAAGCATTTGGTTTTGATTCGAATGCAATGATCAAACAATGGTACAATGTGGTTAATGTTGGTGGAGAAGAAGATTTTGATTTTGCGAATTCTTTGATGTATTTCCAAAAAGAATCCGGTAATAAATTTGACGATGAGTGTTGAATCCAAAGTTTCATTTGTTGAAATAATAAAACAAAAGACGATTCAACAGTTTCTTGTTTCGACATTTTTATCAATTCTTCAATTGAAATATGTAATAATTTTTGTTTGCCACTGACATCATCAACTTTGGCTAATGATAAATGACCAATCGATTTTATAATGGCATGTCTATGCGCAAGAACGGTCAATTTTCCTTCACTACCGTTATAAATTTTGACAAAATAAATTAAGGCTGATTCGATTGCAATGATTTTCGTACATTTTTGAGACACAACTTTCACCGCTTCCAGAGATTCTTCTTGAAGAAGTTCATTTTTCGAATGAAGATGAGAGCCCAATATTTTACAAATATCATCCATGAAATCTGACAAATCGATATTAAGATGCTCAATGATATGGACCATAAGAATTAGCGATATTTCCGGATTTCTTAGAATAGCTTTCTGCAATGATGGTAGAAGAATTGATTGAAATTCTTCCCGATTGATTTGTTTCAATGTATGCTGAAAACAATATGAATCATATTGATCGGTTAATTTGGTTTTGGAAAGGATTATATTTTTGACCAACAAATCTATTGCCGTTTGTTTGTAAGATTTGATCAAATTTATTTGACCGATGTCTGTCAAGAATCGAAACAAATTATCCCAGAGAATCGAATGATTTACATTAGATGATGATAAACTGATCCCCTTCATGATGGTCAAATAAGCGTTCAATGAATCTTCCTTCATTAATGAAATAAACTTTTTCAGACACTTATAATTTAAATCATTAAAAATTCTGTTTTTGAATCGACCATAATAACCGCAGATAATCGATTGACTTTCAATCAATAATTTTCGTTGATTTTCATTCAATTTATCCCAATCAAACAAAGTAAAAAGTTTGACGAAAAAATTGACCTTTGCCGATACAGTTTTTGTTGGAACCAAATTTTTTACTTGTTCAATATGTTGCATTAACACAATAAATAATGCCTGTGTGAATTGATTGCCATTTTCGAGGGCAATACGAAATAATGCTTCTAAAAGATCTTTGCGAAATTTTGAATTGGTTCTTGAATCAAACAAAGACAATAAAAAATTTATTGTTTGTCGATAAACAGTTTCATCTTCAAAAAAATAGTACCCTAGTTAGATTAATTAACTTTTAATGATAAAACTAACCTATTTCATTTTTATTCAGATATTTGATCAATGAAATGATATGATTCGGCTGCAAATTCGGAGACAAATATATTCGATTTAGAATATCATCGAGTTTTTCAACAATGTCACCATCCATTTTCCTGAAGTTGACACTGTATAGATGTTTGATAACAGTTTTATTCTATTAGAGAGATTGTGAAAGAATGAAGAATTTCGATCCAATAAAAAATGAAAATATCTTAAAAACCATGAGTTGTCTTAAAGCAGAGCAATTTTTCGGCTACAAATTCCGGCCAGCAAACACATGTGTGAATCAACAATAAGAATGTCTGTTCATAAATGAGGTTTCTAATAGAATTTTAAATTTTATTGCAAAAAAATTAACCGCGATTTTTCAAACACTAACATCTACATCGTAACCGATTTTATCAAGAACAAATTTACCATGTTTGCCTACACCATCTTTGAAGCGTTTGGCTCCAGAAATGGCTTCCTTGGCAACAATAGATTTGGATATCTCAAATTCTTTTTGAAGTGCATCATCCAATGAAGTGGAATCAAATGTAGCATAGTAAGCTGAACGACGATCAGCACGAAGACATTCGTTTGGAAATTTGACCAAAGATTGTGCCAAATTGAATGCTTGTCCTAAAGCCGTTCCAACAGGCACTAAACGATTAGCGATACCAAAATCAAATGCTTCTTTGCCGTTGATTCCTCGACCTGTCAAAATTAAATCCATTGCTCTGGAATGTCCAATCAATTTACTTAATCGAACCGTACCACCATCTAACAATGGAACACCGAATCGGCGACAATAAACACCCATTACGGCAGTTGTTTCCATCACACGAAGATCACACCATAGTGCTAGTTCGAATCCTCCAGCCACTGCATAACCATCGATTGCGGCAATAACTGGTTTCGATGTTAGCATCCATGTTGGACCCTGATCAACCAAAAGAAATTATTTTACAAAATCACAATCAAAAACGTTATTATACAACATACAGACCATCGGTGCAGGAGTGATTAGATTTTCGACAGTAATTTCATCAATATTTGACAATTCTTCGAGATCATATCCGGCACAGAATGTTCCGCCAAAACCATGCAATACAGCAACACGATATTCTGGATCATTATCGAAATCTTCGAATGCTCGTCGCAATTTTAAAGCAGTTTCACGATTGATTGCATTTCGTTTTTGTGGCCTATTAATGCCGATCAATCGAACATGAGATGTTCGATTTTCTACTATAATTTCGTCTTCAGTTTTTGATATCGTTGAGGATAGAAATCTAATGGGAAAATTACCTGTTCTATTCCGAACGAAATTCGTAAGAATTTTTCTACATGTAATCAACATTATGAACCAAAATTCAAATTGGAACAATCCAACAGCTGGTCAATAATATTTATTGATGCATCAACGCTGGCATCTATTGGCCGAACAATTAATTTTATCATTATGAAATGAATCTTATGGTGATATCAAATTTTTTTTCACATACCAAGCATTATTGTTATCATTGAAAACCTAATCAATTTAAATATTGTTGTTGGAAAAAATGTTCGAAAAATTCCACGTCGTCACTCACTTGAATCGAATATATACGGGTCGATATAATCAACTTGTTGATTTGGAATGTATATTGAATGAATGTTTTGATCATCAACTAAAAATCATAAGGTTGTCATGCAACAATTCTGACCATCGCTCATTCATTCATGCCGAAAAAAAATAAACAACAATAACGACAACAACATACCTGGTAGTTTTCCACCAAAAAAAAAAAACATCTATAGATATACTCAACCAATTTCATTTGTTAAATATTAATTCAAATTATTTAATCTTTATTAATTTGTCTTTTTTAAAAATTATTATTATTATCGGTCATGAAAAGTGAAAATTATTCATCCATAAAAATTACTGATCATTGTGATCAACAACATTCATTTGTCTTTGATTTACCAATAATATTCGATTCTTCACACAAATCTATACACTGTTACGGTGGAAAAACATTGTTTTCATCAAAAATTTTTATTTTTATTACTATTGTTATTGCTTTGATACTGAAAGGTAAGTTGTTTTAGAATACTTAAAAATGAGAAAGAAGAATGTGAATCAAGGACAAAGACAAAGACAAAAAAACCCAATCAATCAATTACAATACTGAGACAGGTTAGATTTTCGAATCGGTTAGGTTGATATATTGGGAATTGTGTGTGGTTGTTGTGTGTGTGTGTCAAAAAATGTTTAATATGAAAAAAAAATTTCAATAAGCATGAACTTGACCCAACAGGGTTCGTTTCATTCATTCATGATAATGATCAAATTCCTTCAAATTTGTCTCCGTTTTAAATGAAAAAAAAGGGTGTATCTATAGACAGTTCAGGCATATTGATGGCAGTCCTGATTAGTCATTTTTAAAATTGGTCTTGTCTTAAGAAAAATCATTTAATGTTCAAAATATACAACATAGTTATTTAAACAAGCGATAATGTTGTTGTGCGATTCATTCACATTTTTGTTTGTTTAAAGATTAGACTTATAAATTAATTTGATTATCAGTAGAAGAAAAAAAAATTTAATTAATTAATTTTGAAAAAAATGTTTCAACAATTTTCCATTGTTTGGATATTATTATTAATTTTATTTGCATTATTTACAAATGTTCATTTACATCCAGCTCCATCCGGTCAATGTCATGGATCATTACCTGGTCTTAAATATCATTATGAATATTATACAAATATTATTTTAAATAATAATGATAATTTGGAACCGGCTGGATTTCGTGCTAAAGGACAATTATCATTGGAAAATGTTTGGCAAGATAAACATGGTTATCTGGCTTTAATCGAATTATATCAATTTAAATTTCAACCAAGAGAATCATCTTCAACTGAAAGGTTTTTCGGTACCAATTCTGCAAATGTTGATCATAATTGGCCACCAGTTTTAGTACATATCAATGGTCATGATGGTCATCTACAAAATTTATATGTTGAAAAATCTCAGGATAATCGCCATCATTTGATTGAGCCAATACAATTAAATTTAATTGTTTCGATTATGAATGCACTTCGTAATCGTCGTGATCAAAATACTGAAAATCAGGTTTGTTTCTGTATCATCTGAATTCATAAACTAAATGGTACATTTATCATAAAAAATCTATGAAAACAGATACTGCCATATGAATGGGAACTACAAGGACGGCATTTGATTCGGCGTAAATCGTCTAAATCCGAATTACTAGAAGATTCTGGTAAATATTCATTATTGGCACCAGCGATTACGGATAATTGGGAAATTGATTCGAAATTGGCTGCTGATCATGACATTTCTGAACATGTAAAAGGCTGGCAAAATGTTACTTTGGAATCGAAAATCTATCCAAATGCACATTCAAAATTGTTTGTCGATTTTGAATTGAAATTGATCGATCAGGATAAGGATAATTCAGAAATCGTTTCAACATTATCAAAAGCTGAAAGTATTTCACAAGCTGTATATTTGTTCGGACATCATATACGTTCAAAACCGATGGCTTCAATAGGTCCCAGTCATTTTCAAGCTGAACGTAAACCATGTCAACCACATTTTTGTCAATCATTGTCCGAATTTATTCAAGAATATAAACGTTCATTAGCAGAAGATCATTCATTGGCTACGAATTCTATGTCGGTAGCATTTCTTCGTCTGTTGAATTATATTCGAATAAATTCTCACAAAATTAATCGTAAAGATGTGGCTAAATTATTGCAACAATTAGAAAAATCCCGTGAAAATGATGGTAATGTTTGGAGTACATTGATGGATACGATTGCCGCTAGCCGTCATGGTGATGCTATGCTTGCTGCTTTAGATCATCTGAATCTACCAAAATGTCAAGGTAATGATCGCGTGAGTGATTGTGAACGATTTCTAGTCGTAATGGCTATTTCCGGATCAACTGTCGCAAATATGGGCTCATCTTATGTAGCAGAACATAGCCTAAGTGTAGAACAAATATTGGATTTATTTGTTCCATTATTGAGTGATGAATCATGGGCCGATCATCGTGTTCGACATTCATTTGCAATGACCATTTCCACATTGTTACATTCATATCAAACTTATGTGAAAACAATAGCCTCTGAAAACAATCAATCAATCATTGCTGATCATATACCATATGAATCTAGTCGTATGACATTACATCATCATTCTAGTCCAACACAATTTGTCGATGTTTCACCTGAATCAACCGTAAAAGATGATAAACCTGAATTGAAATCTCAAGATCATGATCGTCGACATCATCAGCAAAAATTACAGCAAGTTTCGGTAAGAAAATTTCTATATTTTTAAATCAATTAATCAATCAATAATGATCATTTTTGAAATGATCAAAGGAAAAAATTATCAAACATTTACAACGTGATTTGGATAGCTGTAAAGATGTTGAATGTCGAATCGTTTATTTGCATGCATTAGGCAATACTCGTATTATTTCAAAATTTGGAATGCTAAATACATTTAAACGTTATGTGATCAATGGCAGAAAACGAGAATCTGTAGCAGCAATGCGTGCTATGTATGATTGTGTGAAAACAGAATTCGAATCAAATACTGTAGATATAAATGAAAAATTATCCATACGTTTACGGCAATTATTGGTTCGTATCGTATATGATTCGAATTTGGAAACAACAGCCCGTTTGATTGCATCGGAATTATTGGCAAATGTTGTTGATCGACAAGGTGATATAACCATTGAACTAATAAAACATTTAGATAAATTTCCATCAGAATTGGCAACAATGATTTGGAAACGAGCTGTAAAAAATGTATTGCTAAAACGTCGTCAAAATCGTTTACCCGGTGTTAAAACAGAAAATTGGCATCTGCATTCGAAAATTTTATCCGGATCTTCTGCATCATTCAGATATGTAATGGGTGGAACTGGCTATGCAAATGCTTCTTATGGTGTTTTTCTTGAATTATTGAAAGGAAAACTACCAAAAGAAACATCATTCAATGTGGATATTAGTCGTGGTGATCAAATGCATCAGGAAATTATTAATGTTGGTCTGTTTGCACGAGGTTTACAATCATTTGCTGGTGAATCGGATGATAACAATGGAAATGATGAACAAGAAATGTCCACTCAATCATCGTCTGATGAAGAAGAATCAACAATGGCCGGTATGACATTACATGTATTGGGACAACAATTACGGCCATTGATATTTTTCCGTTCAACTTCGGAATTGATGGGACATGTTTGGTCAGGTGCTGGATCAGAACCAACAAGCGTTTTTCGTGCCAATTTATTGCTTGCCGATTATTTGGATGTTAAACCATTGATCAATGGATTTCTAGTTGAACAAACATTAAAAGGTGTATTTTCCATTGATCTTAATGGTGAAATACAGATCTCAATATGGAATCGAAATTCTCATTCAAATGTTCAAACTAAAGGTGCCATATTGTTTCAAGGATCTCAGGAAATTTATGCAGCAACTGATCGTACAAAAACTTCGGCAAGAAAAATGTTTTCATTTGGTGCCGAAGCGCAGCTAAATTTCATAACCGATTTTGATTTCTATTCATCACCATATCGGATATGCATACAGATTACGCAACCGGAATTTATTTTCAGGTTTGTTACAATAGATTTTTTCCTTTTTTTTCAATTTTGTCAACCATGCATTTTTGTTCATTTTTTATCATTTAAATTGCAGACATAATACTCGAAAATATGAACAAGTTCATTCTGATCATCTACATCGTCGTATACATCGACGTTCATACAAAATTCCGGCCAAATCATATATGTTAAATCGTGATAATAGTGAAATGTGTGCTTTGATGAACGGAAACGATAATGATGGTGGTGGTGGTGGTGGCCAAGAGGATAATTTTTTCAGTTTTGATTAATAAATTAGTTAATAATTTTCAATTCTTATTATATTTTTTTTAAATATTATAAACTAAACTAAAACAAAATCATCAACATTCTCGACCTTGATACTGATTGATTTTATTTTTATAATTTTTATATTTTTTTTTAACAAAAAAAAAACTAATCCATGTTTCCCCGTATATGTTAATGTGAATTCTAAAATAATTAATAAAAAACATTGTTTTAAATATCTTTTTAAAAAAATGATTAGGGCAATGTACATGGGTGTGTTAACGTGTTAATTTTTTTCAACAAAATTGTGTGACATATAGGTGTCACAAGTAAACAAATGAAAAACAATTTTTAATTTAAAAAAAAAACATTTAAACAGAAAAAACAACACAGAAACATCATCATCAACCAAACTTGAGGATTTTCTCACCTCTATGTCATCATTTTGAAAAGTAATGATGATAATAATAATTTTCCATTCATTGTCAAATATGATTATCTCAAAAAAGTTTTTGGTTATGCTAAGGACAATGTACTAAATGGAGAAAAGAAAAAGAGAATCTATCGATTGCCTTTTTTTTTCCAATGAAATTTTTTTTTCTTGATTTAAATCCTATATATAATTGGTTGTAGATTTATTATTATGGTTTTTGGGATTTAATTTCAAGATTTTTGCTGCATCATCATTTTTTTTTTGTTTGCCTTCTTCTGTAGATGATGTCTGTAGATAATTGTGGCTCAATATAATAATAATAATAATAATAACCTGATTAGATCATCATGCTGAGCGAAGCTTTATATTATTAGCAATATAGAAACAAAATGGCTAATTTTTGTTTCGAGGAAATATGAAAAAAAATCCAACCGAGAAATAAAAACAAAAAATCAACCATTTGACGATTATGATGATGATGATGATGATGATTAATAATTGATGATTAAAATATTCGATGTTTCTTATGGTAACTCTAAGCTGCTTGCTTGTTTGAAAACCAAATAACCACTTCAACGATAAAACAACTGGATATTAACTTGACGAATTTTTCTTCTTTTTTTTCCTTTTTTTCACAAGATGCTAAAAGAAATAAATTAACGTTTATGGAAATATATTTATTAACCTGTTGGTTTCTTTATCCAGTTTATCCAATCAATCGATTCGAAAATTAAATTTTTAAAAGAAATTATCATTATCATTATAATCGTCGGCATTAAAATGTCTGTGTGTGTAATGATTATCATCAAATATTTATCATAATGATGATGATGATGATGATTATATCGAGTGTTTGAAGCTCAAAGTTCATATCATCGATATCAATTAAATTGATTGTACTTAATAATGTTATATCCTCTTATAATCGATTATCATTTTATTCGAATTATATAAATACAACAGGCTGACAGACACATAATAAAATTATAGAATAATCAAAAATTGAAAAAAAACACCCTAAAGTTATAAACATTTTTTAAAAATCATTTCTTCGTTTATATGGAATCGATATACAACAAAACTTTCAATTGATCTTTATGTCGACCAATTTCATTGTCCAACTAAAAAGTTTTCAATTGTTTGTTTATAACGAAGCAGCTTCGAAGTTAAGTTTCCAGGTAAGTTCATTCTTCCATTTGAATATATTATATACTTGAATTTTTAACTTTGAAAAATTTCCAAAAATCAATAGAAAAATACTTGATAATAGAAATTGTTATTGAAAGAATAATAATTTTTCTTTGAGAAATGATTTGATCATGATGATGATGACGATGATCAAAATGCACTTAATTATTTTTGTTTGATTCTCTTGTTTTTTTATGATACAGTTTTTTCTTCTCTTTTTTGTTTGATAAGATAAAAAAACAATATTGAATGAATGATTCGTGATATATTTTGTTTTTTTTTCTTCTCGTTATTAATGAACAAACATTTTCTTAATTATTTTTTTTTTGGCCTGGTGCAAGCAATTTATATATTATTTAAAAAAAAATTTAAAAAGGTGAAAATTTCATTCAAAACATACAAACATAAAAAATGTACCATACAAAAATGAATGAATGAAACAAACGAAAAAAACAAAACAACAAAGTCTTTCGTCAATGATGAATTTTCGTCAATTTATTTAGTGTTCGTTTCATATATCAAATCGTAATAATTTTCAAATGTTTTTTGTTTGTTTTATTTGATTACGATTTTCGTCCTTTTCATGGCTTGAGATTGAAATGGCAAAAGGGTCTATCAATTTTTTTTCCCATTTTACATTTTGTTTTTGTTCGATATAATTTTTGTTTTTGTTGATTCCCGTTTTCTTATACGTTCTTCATCGTATGATATCTATTTTTATTTCATTTTTCATATTAGATAAATAAATGTTTTTCAATGTTTTTTTTTCTCAAACAAATTCATTTCCTATTGTTTTTGTTTTTGTTGTTATTATCGATTCAAATGTGTTTTTTTTTTGATTCGAATGTTTAATCATTGAACGGTTTAGATTCCTTTTTTTTTCTAATTATTCATTACTTGTTGCATCAAATAATGCTACTACGATTATTACTATACCGAAGGAAAAGAATCATCATCATGTGCCACTACTATCGCAAAACGTAAATAATATTTTTTAATATTGTAGCCATTATCATTGTATGATAAATATAGTGGTACCTTGGTTGACGAACATTTCTGTTAACGACGGTTGTTCAGGAACCGATCACCGTCGTTAACCGAGGTACTACTGTATATTTGTTTGTTTTTTTCAAACGGAATCTTTTCTTCCCTCTCTCTCTCTCTCTCTCTCTCTCTCTCTTCCTTCTCCGCCTTATTTTACCAATTTTCGATCTTTTATAAATTTTGGAAAAGAAAAGAAAAACATTTCTTCATTTGTTTTACAATATTTATTCTGTGATCATCATATTTTCCTTCAGTGATATGAAATGGGGTTGTTGTTAAAACTCCATTTCATAAAGAAAATAAGAAAGAAAGAAATGAAAAAAAATTCACATTTCGATTCGAATTTATTATTTTCGAGAGATTTCGTTCGACGTTGTTCGTCGTCGTCATCATCATCACCATCTTCTTCTTCGTCGTCGTCGTCGTCATCATCATCATCATCGTCGTCGTCGTGGTCGTGGTCTTCGTTGTTGTCGGCAATGATGATGATAATATTTGCTAACTTCGAGAGTGTTGTTGTTGTAAGCCCTGTTGATATGTGTCTGCTTTTTTTTTAATTTTTTTCAAATTTTTCACTTGTCTCTATATAAAATGTATACTTGCATGTTTGTTATGCTGTTATTTCGGGTTGGAAGATTAATATATTCAACATTGAAAAAAAAAATATTTCTGTTTGTCTGTGTATCTTTGATAGTAGACATACATATACATCAAGTGTATTTCAACATTTTTTTTTGTTGTTAATATTTACCAGGGATATTCACATTTTCTGTATGACTTTTTTTTTGAATTTTGAAGAACGAAAAAAAATATAAATTTTGTGTGAAGAGAGAAATTCATTTTATGTTTCTTGATAGATTTTTTTTTTTGATGTCGATTTTTACAACCACAACAACCACAGCAGAAGCAACAGCCAAAGTAGTTTTTTTTCATCAAGAGAAATTCATCTTTTGCAACAAGATATCCAACCAACCATTTGATAATTTGATTTCGAATCGAACACGTTTCCATAATTTTTTTTCTCCTTTCATCATCATCAACAAAACAATCCTGTGTTTTTTCCGTAGATGAAAAATAGAGTGCCGACAAGATAGAGAATACCAAATGATCCTGGAGCTATTCCAAATTTTGTTTTGAAATTTAACAAATGTCGCCTATAATTTCATTTCGGTAATTTTTTTTTTACTATTTACACCCAAACACACTATTTCGAACATTCGAAAAATTTGTCGCTAAAAAAAAAATATTTTGTTTTGTTGTTTGATGTTGTCATAAAAAAAAATCAATATTCAGTTGAAATAAATTGATTTTTTCTCGATAAAATCTCCTAAAAGAAGAAAAACAAATTTTTATGTAAAAGTGTATATGTGTGTGTGATAATGATCGAAATTTCCTTTAATTCATTTGCAATTTTTTTTTCTGTCTGTTTGTTGTTTACCCACACACACACAAATCCCCCGTTTTTCATTTCTGTTTAGCTTGAATTTTTCTCTTCATATTTTTTCCTTCATCATCATCAACATCATCATCATCATCATTATTTGTATCCAAAAATCGAATTTCTTACATCCAGATCTCTCTCGTTTTTGTTGTTTTTTTTCTCGATCGTTTGGGGGAAAAAAAATGGAAAGAGCCTGAATGTATTTTGGTGTATAACAAAATTTTCATACTTCAAAACTTGGTTGTTTTTATTCACTTAACACAGAAATAGCTAGTGGATACAAGAAAAAAAATCGAGGAAAAAAAGAAATAACATTAACATCCTCACCATCATCATCATAACTATAATACTGTCGGTAGTCATCGATAATACAATAACAATAAAATTAGTTTAGCTATATATAAAATAATAATAATCAAACTCATTCCTAATTTTTCAATAATTTTTTCTCTTTTTTTACCTGTTGCTTTGCTTATTTTTATATATTTTTTTTCCTGATCATGATATGATGTTGTTTTCATTTTTATTTTTTGTTGCTTCTGTTTTAATCATATTATATTGATTATTTTTCTCTCTTTTTTTTCTGTGATTATATAGAATAATATTATTTATAGATCAAATTGGATGGTGACGATTATAATCATCATTTATTAGTGTTTGTTGTCAATTTAAATGATTGGATCTACTGTGTATGATGATGTTGATGACGATGACGATAAGATGTTCGGTGTAAAAGTAAATAGATCCACCAGTAAAGTAAAACTATTAATTAATGGATTCAGCATCATCATCATCATTATCGATTCTTATAATTCAGATTCACACACACAGAATTATTCATTCCGGGTAAGTTGGGTTAATTTTGCCAATTACAATTTTTTTACATTTCATTAAATTTTTTTTGTTTTTAATTACAAAAAAAATGTTCATTAACGAATTTAATCCCTCATAGAATTTTTCAAATTCACCCATTATGATTCATTCAGTTGTGCTTTGAATATAAATATTTGTTTTTTTTACCAAAAAATAATGTTTGTTTATGTATGTTTTTTGTGTTTCGAAGGCGTTGTGATTGTTTACCTGGTTATTGTTATTGTCGATTACCTTAACCGATTCATATCACCACATTCGTGAATACACTAAACATACATTTTCAACATTTTTTTTATTTTTGGTAAGATTATGTAATCAAATAGAAAAGAAAATAAAATTGTAAACCAATTTTATATCAAAGTCCGACTGAATCGATTCAAAATGTGGATAAATTCATCGTAATGTAGTTGAAAATTTAAATTTTTTTTCCCAACTTTTCCTATCAAATATAGTTGATCTTTTTCTTTGACAGAAAAAAAAACAAACCGAAAATGTATTTCTTTCTCAAATAAAAATAGATAATTCCTTCTAAGGAAAGAAAAATTGAATCAACGTTGCAACAAGAAAAAAAACTACAACAGCATCAAGGTAACATAATGGTTGACAAGATTTATGACCAAAAAAAATGTTCAATGTTCACCATCATTCGTTCAAAATACTTTTGCTCGGGTAATTTTATTTAAAATGAGATTCTCGCTGATTTCTTCGTATATGTCTTTTTTTTCTACTTTTTACAATCTTGATTGATTTTAATTTTTCAATTTTTTTTCTTCTAATTTCAGCCAAAAAACAAAAAACAAGTTACACACATTCGGTAATATTTCCAGACACAAACACATATAAGCAACAAGTGAATTTTACTTTTGCATTCCAATATATTTTTTCATTTTATTTCAAAATGTTATTTTTATTTTACCTGTCGTCGTTTAAATGATTGACCTTTTGACTTTTTTTTTGCTCATTACTCGTGGTGCTGATGATGATGGCGAATGAAAAAAAAAGTTGAAGCAGAAAATAAAAATTTACGTGACTTGAACTTATCCAGATATATTTATTGGATACCTAAATTTACCGATCATAATTATGATAATGTATGGAATATATTAGAGAAAATGTCAATCGAAATTATTGAAAACATTAAAAAAAAATTTTTTTGTGGTTGACATTTCATATATTCCCCATTTATTGTGAATTGGAATGAATTTCATCACGATCAATTTATTCTATAAATAATAATGATGATGGTGGCCATTTTGATATTTCTCTTCTCTTTTTTTTTTCTCTGTGTAACTTAAATATGATTTCAATGAATTAATTAATCAGTAATAAATTTTGAAATTAAATAAAATGGATGTGGTTGGATGGATGGATGGATATTTTTTTTCTGATGAATAAATAAAATGAAATAACAAACATCTTATGACAACCCAAAAGAGATAAGAAAGAATTCAAAGAAATAAGATCGTAGAAGATGATAAGTTTGATTATTTTTTTCGTTTTTGAATCTTTGAATTTTCAAATAATTTTTTTTCTCTCTCGTTATTTTGCATCTATCAACTGGTAAGAATGAAGAAAAAACGAATTAAACAAGGATGATGATGATGGTGAAATCGATTCGACAAATATTTCTTCTCTTATTATTCATCTTTCTTGTTATTGATGATGATGATGATGATGATGATATTCATGGTAATGGAATTTCGTTGAAATAAAATTCGTCCATTTATCATCAAAGGCAGTGAAAAAAGAAAAAGAAAAATTTCTCGCTATCTCTCTCTCTCTCTCTATTTACTCTCGTTACTATCCATGTGAGATATCTGTTGTTGTTTTCCTTGACGATGTCTTTGATAATGAGGATGAGGATGATGATGATCATATGAAAAATTTTAGCATTTTTTGTTTTTAAATGTTCAACAACCAAAAAAAAAAAAACATACACAAGAAAGATATTTCATCCATCCATGAATGGAAAATCAAATCAAGCAAAAATGTGTGACAGTGTTAAGCAACAACGGCAGCAATGATGATACTCGGTGACGATGATGGTTATGGCAACATTCAACGGCGGCGGCTGTTGTACTTGGATGAATAAGATTTCATTTCAAAAAAAAAAAAATTTTCTAAATGGAAAAAATAAATCTATAGATAGTTAACCAACCAAGTTAGTTGATTAGAAGTAGAAGTTTTTTAAACTCTCAGAATTTTTAGTTTTAGATTAAGGAAATGAAGAAACGAAATAATAATTAGAAATTGAAAAATTAATTCATTCAAAATGTTTAGATTTGTTGTTGTTCTTGATGTTTTTCCCTCACCCATCATCAATTCATTTTATTTGTAAATGTAAAAAATTTTTCATACATTATCAAAATCAGACCGAACCGAAAAGAATCATTTTGAAATTCTTCTTTTCCAAACAAATTTTATCTGCTAAATTTAAACTTTATATGTTCGAATAATGATTATTATTATTTCAAAAAAAAAATCTTTTCTCGTTACTTGCTCATGCAGGATTTGTTCATTTTCGGCGATAATTAGTGTATCATCATCATCATCTTGGCTAGATACTAAAATAAGGCTAACGAATGACGAATCAAGAATAAATAAGTATATACACATCCTCATGTGTATAATGTAATATAAATTTCTTCAGTTTTGTTTCTCTTCTTCTTCTTCTTCACCTTTTTTTCCTGATTTTTCAATGATTTTTGAATTGAAAATGATTTTAATTTTATTCAAGTTTTGTTTTTCTTATTCGCAACTTATTTGTACTTCAAAAATAAAAAAAAAAGGCTAAATGCTTTTGTCAAAATAGATTTGTCAAATCAATCAAGCAGTATAGAAATTATCATATCTTGCAATATTTTGTTATATCAGATTTTTTTTTCTTCTTCATCCTCTTCACCTTCTTCATCACATTTTGAACTAGTTTTATATTATCAACATTATAATCATAGTTTTATCTGATCAAATGAAATATGAGCCATCAAATTTTGTTTCGTTTTTTTTGATTGGATTGGATTTCGTTAAACGAAAAAAAAGGATCATTAAACATTATTTTTTTGAATTTTATCAAATCAAATTATTTTTTTTTCTTTTAAAAATGATTGAATTTAATCAAAATTCATGTGAAGATAAAACTTTAAAAATTTAAAAACTTTAATTAAAAAGAATCATCGATGCTTGCTTGTATGTAATATTCATAAAATTTTATGAATTTTTTTCTCTCTCTCTCTCTTTCGAAAAAAACATGAAACTAAAATCTAATCACCATGTTTGTATCAATCGATGATCATATATTAGTTGGTTGTAGCAGCAATAGTGGTGATGATGTTTAATATTTTAATATTCAATCGATTCGAGAATGAACGAATGATAATGATGAATGTATAGATTTTTTTTCCATTCGTTTCGTTTCATTTTCTTCTATGCAAGATAATCCCCAATTTATACATCAAGGTTAGATTGTAAAATGAATCCACAATGATAATGATTAATATTTGCTCATTATAAACAGAGTGATTGGAAAAGTGTTTATTTTTTATTTTTGCTTTTTTTCAAAATATGAAAATATCCCTTTTTTCTGGAAAAACATTCAGTTGTTGTTGATTCGAACAAAAAAATTCACATCAAAAAATACATGAAAATTGTCGACCAAAAAGAATTAATCATTGGAACATTCTGATGAAAATTTCTTTTCTTTTTCATTTTCATTTTCCATTTTGGTATGAATGTTGTTGAATAAATGAATGGAAAAAACAAAATAATAATAATAATAAAAATCAAGTAGCCAGCTATCATGAAAACAAGCTTTTCTAATCATAAATTTACAATAACATCAACAACAACAGAAACGGAAAAATGAATTGAATTACGAATTTTTTTTTTGTTGAACACAAACAAAGGTGTGATATGTAAGTAATGCGAATGTGGTGTGATGTAAGTGTAAATCTTTATTTTTAAAATAAAAATCAATCTTTAAAGAGAAAGAAGAAAAAAAAATTCCGATAATAAGGATGATGATAGACAACTGATCGATGTGATTGAGCTATAATAATCAGTATATATTTGAATTGAATAACAATGAATAACAAGACTTCAACAACAACCTACTTGTTGTTGTAAATATATTTAAGCTTTTGATATGTTTTTTTACACATATTTTTCAATCCTTTTTTCACATAGTTATGCTGATTATGTTTTTTTCCGTATGAAAATTCTTTCAACATTTTCCATTTCTTCCGTTGAATAATAATCCATCGATAGTAGACCGGGTTAAAAAGAGGGAAAAAGAAAAAATATATTGAATTAAGAAATTACTTAAACACACGCACTTAACTAAAGAAAAATAACAGGTAAAATTGATTGCCCATTGTTTACCAAAAAGACAATTTTTTTTGTTGCTTAAAGCAACTGTACAGTTTTTTCCAATTCATTATTATTCAGGGAAAAATTTCAAATATATTCAAATCTCTGTGTGCGTGGATGCCCAATGCAATGAGTGAGTGATGGCTTACCACATTTATTAATATCATCATCATCATCATGGTTGAAGGAAAAAGAAAAAGAAAAACTAATGAATATGAAATCATCAATATTTTTTCATATTGAATTTGAAATGGAAAAAAATTATTTATACCGTTAATTGTTCCGGTATGTGTTTGTGTGTATTTTTTGCTTGATTTTTTTCCAATTCCAATGTCAAATTAGCTTAGTATTTTATTTATTAATAGGGCGAAAAAGAAAATTTTTCATTTACTTTTCATAGATTATCATTGACCATTTGAAATATAAATTATCTGTGTTTTTTATTCTTCTTGAATTTCGGAATTACTTAAAGAATTTATCGATTTAATTTTGTTTTTCTCCCTTGGTTCAATATTTTTAATGATTTCTCAATGATTTTTTTTCTCATTTATCATTTCGTTTATATTTCATTGAAAAAACAAATTAGATAAATCTAAAAATGGAAAACAAAACAAAAAAAACTTCCATTCAAGTTAATTAGTTTTTCATCAAGTAATTTCACCTATAAATAGTATCATTTTTTAAAAATGTATTTATATAATTATATCGAAGATATTGAGAGAAATTAAAGCCAAAATTATTGCAATGTTTTTTTTTCTTTCATTCCATTCGAATGATTATGTTCAATGATGATGATGATAAATCGAATCCTTTCGGGATGAAATGATAAACGTTTTGTTGTTTTGAAAAAAAATTTGGAACGAATATTTGCCTTCAAGCACAATCATCATTGATTTAAGAAATTTTAAAAAGATTTTTTAAGAAACAATGCAATAAATAAACTCATGATTGACCATTATTGATTATGACATTCATTCATTCTTATATGATAATATTTTGACATAATTTTCATTTTTTTATTCGATAGTTTTCCAATGATGATGATGATTGTTTGCCATTGCAATAAAATTTATGAATCATTCTTAAATAAATTTCATGATTGGTCGTTGATCGTAATGTAAATATGAATATTTGCTGAGCAATTCAATGGAAGAAACAACAAAAAAAAAAGATATTGATTGAATTGCTTGAACACACTTATTTGTTGTACACATTTGTGACCATCTTGGACACGAACAATTTTAAGTGAATATTGGACGGGCGAAACCATGGTCAAACAATAAAATTTCAAACAATAACAGCAAAATTATTATTATTTTTTTATTTGTCCCCATTCATATTCAAGAAAATGCGTTGAGATCCATAAATTGATGATAATGATAATAAAATTGGCATGCATGATTTAATGGCCAACGAAGTAATTAATTCCGCGGAAAAAAAATCTTTTTTAAAAAATATGAATTTACAAATTCATATGAACAACATAACGCCATCTATTGCTTTGAAATTGATAATGAATATTTTGAAAATTTTTTTACAAATTACATCGAATTGATGATGATGATCACCACGACAACAGGATATAATTTTTTTTCTTTGAATTTTATCATTGCCGTTGCTGTGGTGGTGGTGGTGGTAGTTTTGGAAAGGATTTATTTGTTTATTTTTTTTATATATGGTAAATGATGGTCATGGTTGTACGTCAAATTGTTTCTTTTTCCAAATTCCATTTGTTTTTAAATAATGTCAATGACAAATGTCGACAGATTGACAATCAATCAGTTTTTTAAAAAAAAGTTTCTTTTCCTTTCTTTGATAACAACAGTTAAGAAAATCCATTATTGACTTGAATTCAAATGTTAGCTAAAGTTAGATTTAGATTCTTATTCATTTTTGTTTGATATTTTTTGTCTATCGGTTTTTTTTTAGTTTTTCACATCGATCAAATACAAGTATAACGAGCCCACTTTTTATTTCTGCCGAATTATTTTGATTATAATATTACAATTGTTTAAACGGGTAATCTAATAATCGATTCGAAGAATGAAGATTTCAATGTTTTGTTTTATTTGTCATGACGACAATTATGATAATCTTCATAAGTAGATATGATGTTTTTATGTCGTTTGTTTGTTCGTAGTGGTGGTGGTGGTTTAGTTGGTAACCAAAAACTAGAAATGTGAACCATATTTTTTTTTGTCTGACATAAAAATTAATCGTCCTTGATCTACCGTTATAAATTGTAATATGATCATTATTATTATTATCATCAATGCCATTGTCATTAGCACTTGTTGATTTGTAAAATGAAAAATTCTCAAATTATAAACGTTGTTATTCGATAGAAAGAAATCTTTTCAACAATCATCAATCAAGTTTTTATGAATATATCATTAGAGTTCAAAGCATTTATTTAATGTTTAGAATTCAGTTTTTTTCTTTGTTTTGTTTCAATTGTTGATCATAAAATTAATCTGATTTTTTCTGAGAAAAACTGGATCTGATTTTTATGATTCGTTTATTATCTTGTTTAGTGTTTTTAATTATTTTTTAAATTATTTTAAAAAAACAGTTATAATGTTAAATACAATCAATGCTGATGATAATAATGATAATAATGTTGGTGGTGGTAATAAATCCAATCCCAATGATAAAACATCCTCAAATGTTTCATCGAAATCAACAACAACAGCAGCAGCACAAAATGTCAAAAATTTGACATCAAAATTATTATTACGTTCAACATTACTTGATTCGNGATTATAATATTACAATTGTTTAAACGGGTAATCTAATAATCGATTCGAAGAATGAAGATTTCAATGTTTTGTTTTATTTGTCATGACGACAATTATGATAATCTTCATAAATAGATATGATGTTTTTATGTTGTTTGTTTGTTCGTAGTGGTGGTGGTGGCGATGGTTGTTTAGTTGGTAACCAAAAACTAGAAATGTGAACCATATTTTTTTTTGTCTAACATAAAAATTAATCGTCCTTGATCTACCGTTATAAATTGTAATATGACCATCATTTGTATTATCATCAATGCCATTGTCATTAGCACTTGTTGATTTGTAAAATAAAAAATTCTCAAATTATACACGTTGTTATTCGATAGAAAGAAAAAAAATCTTTTCAAAGATCATCAATCAAGTTTTTATGAAGATATCATTAGAGTTCAAAGCATTTATTTAATGTTTAGAATTCAGTTTTTTTTGTTTTGTTTCAATTGTTGATCATAAAATTAATCCATTAATTAATCTGATTTTTTTTCTGAGAAAAACTGGATCTGATTTTTATGATTCGTTTATTATCTTGTTAAGTGTTTTAATTATTTTTTAAATTATTAAAAAAAACAATTATAATGTTAAATACAATCAATGCTGATGATAATAATGATAATAATGTTGGTGGTGGTAATAAATCCAATCACAATGATAAAACATCCTCAAATGTTTCATCGAAATCAACAACAACAGCAGCAGCACAAAATGTCAAAAATTTGACATCAAAATTATTATTACGTTCAACATTACTTGGTTCGATGTCATCATTGTCTCGACATAGTAATCAACGATCACCATCTCCAGCACAATTGTTTATGCAACAACATCAACATCAACAACAACAACAACAACAACAGCATCAGCAGCAACAACAATTACAACAACAACAATTACAACAACTACAACAACTACAACAACAGATTTTGGAAAAACCATCATCAATAACATGGCCACAATCGACTGTACAGCATTCAACACAAACGACGACTTCATGTTCTAAATCAACGATCGATTTGAAGAAGGAAGAGGAAAAAAATTATCAACAAGAAAAACAAAAACAACGAAAAAACAATAACATTCAACAATTACGACATCGAAGAGAATCGAGTAGTTCAAAAACAAACAATAATATTGATGAAAATGATAATAATTTAGTTAGTTCCAAAGTTAATCCTCATCATCGACAAAAAATTAATGATTATTTTCCAACAATAAAAATGTCACAAACATCATCATCACCACCACCAACACCTCGATCATCAAGATCAACATCATCGGCATCATCCTCATCATCATCATCATCATCGACATCAAATGTTTCATTAGTTAAAAATGGTATTGATTTAGGTCCAAAAAATGGTGGTAATGGTTATTATAATCCAGCCAATACATTTCCAATACCGGTTAATCGATTATCAAATTTTTCAAATAATAATCATTGGTATCCGGAACAGGAAACAACATTCAGTAATACTAATAATAATATGAAAAATCAATCATATATGACACAAACGCAAACATTTTTGGCATATCATCAAAATCATCCAAAAAATACTAATAATAATAATAATAATAATAATGGAATTAATGGAAAACATTACAAAAGCAGTAATAATATTATCAATGATAGAATGAATGAACGTATCAATTCAACAACAGTTGCTATTGGAATGTCAACAATGTTTAGTTCACCATCATTATTAGCATTAGCACAGCCACCACCTTCAATTAATTATCAATCAAATTCAATGTCAAGATCATATCAAGAAAGATTGGATAATTCTGTCCTGAATACAAATGAAAAACCTTATTTATCAGCAAAAAAATCACCATTTCGAAAACATCCATTGATTGAAATTACACGTACACGTGCATTAAGTCGAGCAAAATTGAAACAATCATCACAGGTATCAGCATTACTTTCCGGTTTTGCATTGGTATGTTTTTTTTTTATTTTTTGAAATTTTTATCTAAAAAAATAAATTTTCTTCCTATATTGACATTCCAATAAATGTGATAACATAAAGGTTGCTATGGTCGAAATGGACATTCAAACACCATCAACAATACCATTATCGGTATTAATGTTTTTCATCACTGTTACAACAATGCTTGTATCAGTTCATATGATTGCATTAATGATTTCTACCTGTATATTACCACATATTGAATCGATGAATGCAATGCAAGATTTAGCATTAACATTAGGCACGAATGATAATCCAATAATTAATTTTAGTGATCATGATGAAACAATAGTAACACCATCGGGTATAATACCATTAATAAATGATAATCATATTGCATCAACTGTTAAAGAAACAAATGTTGCTGATCAATTAATGTCCGATGCATCTATTTATTATGGTACAACACCACATCAAAAAATGAGTCGTTATATTTCGATTGCATGGTTTTTTTCCACTGTTATTGGTATATTTTTATTTATGCTTGAATTAGTTGCAATTGTTTGGGTTAAATTTTGGGATCATCATCGTGATACAAATGAACAAATCGGTGGTGGTCAAAATGATAACAAAAATAATATTAACATTAATAATAACAATAATAATAATAATCAATGGCTTTCCGATGGAAAATTTGTTGCCATTGTAGCATCATTGATATTAATACCAGTATTATTGGCATTAATATTTTTTGCTTATCATTTTTATCGAAAATTGGTACTAATCAAATGGGAACTAACACAAAAAGTTTTAGATGAATTAAATAATATTGCCGATGGTCTTTCTGCTGGTGAACATATTTGAAGATTTGTTTTTCAATTTTCGACAAAAAAAACCAGAATTCAAACTTTCGAATTTTCTTCTACATTTCCTACTGATTTTGACTTATGAAAATCTTTGTTTTTCCTCTTATATTTACTGATTACAAACCGTTATAACTTTCGTTGTCGGATTTTTATTTTTCAAATGAAATTTTGAAAAACATATTCTGATTAAAGAGTTTATTTATTTTAAAAATACAACAAAAAATGGTCAGATCGTTGAATTTTTTTTTTGTTTTGGCTAAACAATTTAAAAGCTGCTGGTAAATGATAAGTATCAGTGAATGTTGAATATATCAAAGGATATTTGTATGTATTCGAACAAACCATAAATAAATAAAATGCCGATTGTATAAAAATGATTATTTTTTATCTGAATTCTCAAATCAAATTCATCAAGTAATCATCGTTCAAGAGTACAAATGAATATATTGTTTGCATGCGAACATTATCGTCAGAAAGGATCTTTTTTTTTCACATTGCACTTTCAATATCAAAATTTATTTTCGACATATTGACACGAGAATCATACGTCAATCAAACAAAGACAGAGAGAGTACATTACAGGAAAAAACATCGAGAAATTTTCCGTTCAATAATCATAAATTTATTGATCGATAAAAATGATTTAGAAAGTTAAATAGTACTATTCCCTTTTTTGGGTGGTGATAAAAAATTTTATCAAAATCTAATAAAACGCTAATGCAATCATTTGATTATATTGTTATTTTTATCGATGTTTGATGATTGTTGTTGTTGTCGTCGTTACAGACGATACAAATCTTTTTGCTTATAACATAGAATATAATTGTTATTGTTAATCATTTGATTATGATCACCGTCAAAATGATGACATTTCACTTTATTTCATTGCAATTTACAATCAAATATTGTTAAGGATTGCCAATGATTTAGTGAAAAAAAACAAGAAGACATTGAAGAATATAAAATGAAGATCGATGATGTTCATAGTCATCAATATAATACGAGAAAATCAGATCGATTAATAAAACAACAATAATTCAACATGAATAAATTTCTTTTTTCATTGACGGCAATACTCGTAATGTTATTGGTGGTTAAAGAAATGACACCGGTAACTGGTGCTCTTACTTGTTCACGAGATCATTGTAACGGAATACAATGTTCAACACCTTATTGTGAAGGAATACCTGATGGCCGTTATCGTCTTAAACAACCCGGTCCTTGTGATTGTTGTCCATTTTGTGTAAAAGTTATTGGTAGGTAATCATCTCGAATTTAAATTATTAATTATTAAAATATTATTATTGTTTATTTTTTAAAAATGAATTTAGCTAAAGGAGAAGATTGTCGTTCAACAATGATTCTAACTCGAATTGTTGGTGCTACGCCACAAAGTGAATGTGAACAAGGCACACATTGTGATCAAACAACATTTAAATGTGTTTAAAAATTTTTGTTAAATGAAATAAGAATTAGTTTTTATTTCATTATCAAAAAAATATGAATTGAATTAATATTCAAAGAAAATAAAATATAAATTGAATTAAGCTTGTTGTTGTCTTTGGGGTAATTGAAACCATGTTTTGTCATCCAGATAGTTTAGCATCCAAACACCAATACCGGACATCTGATTTTCATTTATTAATCTTATTTTTTTAAAAATGCCTAAATTATCGGTCCAATATTGTTTAACTTGGCCATAAATTGAATTGTCAAGAAATGTGTAAATATCATGATTAGAATGTTCATCCCAAACCTCACGCCAACATTGTCTGTCAATTCTTTCAAACACGTTCCATGGTATACGATTAGCAACTTTCGAACTACAATTTGCACCACGATAATTATATGATTCAATAATACAACGATAATTTTGATGATATTCAACACATAGATATTCATCTACATAAAAACCTAATGCCATTATCATACGATTAAGATTGACTCCAATATTTTTATAAGCCATTAGACTGCCAATAGTAATGTAAAGCGATTCAGGTGCACCAGCTAAACATTTTGGTTCATCAAATGATTGGCTACGTTGATCAAATTCCATGGCAACCATCAAATCAACCGATTTAGAAATTGCAACATAATCATAATTTTTTCCATCAACACCTTTGCCTATTGTTTTTACAATGAAATTGATGTAATCATTACAAATAATAGGATTTATTACAGACCTTTTTCATTTTTTGGACTAAACGGTGCATTGAACAAAACGATTGATCCGGGTAATTCTTGATGAAAACGTTTAGTTGTCAGACTGATAAAATCGGTGATTCGTTGACTAAATGTCGAATTAGGTTCGACAGGATCATCAATAAACAAATTGATTCCATCGTAGAAATTATCCTGCGCTTCTTTTAAACGATATTCGATCCATTTATTCATTTTATCTGAACTGGATAAATCATTCAACGTAAAATTGCCTGTAATAGCATACCATAAACATTAAAGCAACAAAATAAAGAATAATTTTACAAACCGAATGCCATTATTCGAATCTTATTATGATGAGCTAAACACATCAATTTTGGTTGATGAAAATCAATCAATGAAATTATGGTTAATTTGTTCCATTTGAATGTTGACCAAATTGTTTCATTTGATTCTAAAAGATAACCAATAGTTTGGTTCGTTTTCCAATCGGTCGTTATTCGGTTACAATCATTTGGATCATTGCATGGACATTTTGCATCGACAATCGATGACAAACAGCAAACGGCAATAATTCCAATTGAAAATAATAATTTTTGCATTTTAATTTAATTTGACAAAAATTTAATGAAAAATTTGAGACGATGTCAACTGAGAAATTTTTATAGTGAAAAAGAAATTTCTATCTTAAAATATCTAATTAAAAATGTAATCAGGTGCTGTATGAATGATAATGAGGATGATCCAAATAAAAATCCTAATAATTCAAATCAATTTGATTGAATCAAATCGAATTATAAATAATTTAAATCCATAACAACCATTATCACATAAAAATATCATAATAAAATGTATCTGGAAATTATCAATAGTTAGTTGATATGTTTTTGCAACAGGTGGCACTGATTGCTTATTTTAAAATTTTCTTTTCGAAAATTAGAAATTACGCTGTTTCATTTTTTTTTCAAATTAATCATGCGCAAGCAAAATCCAGACTTGAAATTCCATGGAAATAATAAGGCGCCAGACTGTCTGGCTATTGAATGGAAAATGCAAAAAATGGTCCTTATTATCGTTTGATATTCTTTTCACATTCATTTTCGAAACAATAGTACGAAAAGCAATAAGTTTTAATTTCTTTTGCTTTAATTTGTTTCATATCTTAAAAAATGGAATTTTTGCAAGAATTCTTGGATAATGCCAAATTCTTTGGCCAAAATGAATCAATTCGACGATTGAAGACATGGATTAAACGACATNACCCCCATTAGCGTATTCAAATGTTTTTGATACCAAACAAATTGGACCAGATCCGATCGGATGAATCCTACCACAAGATCCTGGTTCAAGATCTAAATTCTTACCAAAATCTTGATTAGCAGATCCACAGATTGTATTGATTAATTGTTCAACAAAATTCGATTCAACTACTCGATTTCTTAACGGCATCACCGAATTCTTTGTTTTTTAGCTATCCATCTAAATATTTGTTCATAATCTAAACGCAAAACAGCTTTTAGCATTTGAAACATTTCATTTTCATCTTCATGCCACATACATAGTTACACAGATATAAACTGGTACGAATGGTTTTATCATCTGTTGGATCAGTTTTGTCATCAATCCGAATCTTCTTCAATTCAAATTTCTTTTTCGAAAATTAGAAATTACGCTGTTTCATTTTTTTTGTTCAAATTAATCATGCGCAAGCAAAATCAAGACTTGAAAATTCAAGGGAAATTATAAGGCGCCAGACTGTCTGGCTATTGAATGGAAAATGCAAAAAAATGGTCCTTATTATCGTTTGATATTTTTCTTTTCACATTCATTTTCGAAACGACAGTGCTACAAGCAATAAGTTTTAATTCATTTTGCTTCAATTTGTTTCAGATCTTGAAAAATGGAATTTTTGCAAGAATTTTTGGATAATGCTAAATTCTTTGGCCAAAATGAATCAATTCGACGATTGAAGAGATGGATTAAACGACATTTCGATGATTATTTTGACTTGATCGATTTTTTTGAATTATATCATCCGGATGATTGTTCAAGCAATGACGAATTGATTTATTTTGGTGTTCAATTCAAAAATCCTTATCTGGCTGCTCGTGTTGTTGGTAGGTTATCTTTTATGATTGATCTTCATTGAAAAGGAAGTAGATTTTAATTTCGAAATAATTATTATTTAAATAGGCCGAAATGGTACTGTAATCCGTCGAATTCGAGAAATGACCGGAACTGAAATCATATCACCGCAATATCATTTAAATGAATGGATGACAAATAATTTTCGTCGCCCATCACAATGTTCAAGACAATCGTTTTTGATCATTTCACGAAATGCCATCCGTATCGTGTATTCTATCACTTTGATCATTGCTACCGGAATCTATTTTCTGCAACGATTTCGAGATTTGATTTCACCAAATCCTGATGAAATTTGTTATCGATTACCTGTGCCATCAGGTTTAGTTCCATCGATTCTTGCAAACAATGCAATGATAATTATTCTGATTCAATGGGCTACAGATGTACGCATTGTGTCACCAAAACCTTATTGTATTCCTTGTGAATTTTACATCATCGGTAAACAGGTTTGTATAATATATTTTTTTTTTATTTAAAAAAATTGAATTAAATTCATTTTTCATTTTCATTATAGGAAAATGTTCGAATTGCTATTAATTTTCTTGTTGAACACGTCAAATCAATTATTAAATCACCAACCACCATCAACCGTCAATGGTCAAATTGTTGAATGAAACAACAAACAAAAATCGATCAGCACAAAAATTTCATTATTTCTCATTTTTTTGTTTTCATTTAGCGCAATTTTGTTGTTTTGTTTGAATTGAATTGAATTTTGTTTAAAATTTTTGATGTGAAATTAATTTTCAAGAATTAAAAAATTGAAATTTTCTAATGTTTTCCATTGTTATATGTACAATTTTATAAAAGTTTGATAATTTGTTGTTTACACCTTATGAACATTTTCATTATTATCATTAGGATTTACTTTGAATGTACTTTCTAAATATGTATTTTTTGTAATTTGAAATTATAATTACATGTATTTTGTACCGATTATTGCTAATTGATTGAACGTAAGTTTTCAAATGTATCATTTATTTATTTATTTACATTAATTTTTTTTTGCTTGGTTTCAGATGTACGCAACACATGGTTACCATGTGATAAAATAATGATTTGGGAAAATTTTGAAATCAATCATAATCTCGGTCTATTCGTCTGTGATGGTGATGGGTGTATTTTATTCAATATTCATTCAGTATTATATATCCTATGTTTTTTTTATTATTTGTTATTTTCACAGATTCAGCAATCAATTTTCTTTCTTTTTTCAATATTGACTCTCGATAAATGATCTGATGATGATGATGATGATGATGATGACAATGATCCGGATTCACTCTTAAAATCATAGCGAATACCTAATTTGGTTTGAATAAAAAAATTGATTAAACAATCATAAAATTGATTAATGTTTGTAATTAATAATTCAAAATTTTTCTTATCCATAATGTACAGTAAATTTATTTTCCCAAATCAATATCTATGATAATCGATCAATCAATCAATCAATCAATCATTTATTCATACAAATAAAAAAGTATCGAATTACAATTAATTTTTTTTTCTAATTCATTCGGTTGGATCCAGATTCGAATTTTTACTAATATGGTCTGTTCTATCGGTATGGTCATGTGAACTTTGATGATTATTGAGCTACAATCACCTCCCTTTTCATCGAAATGATGATCAATTATGAAAATTCGCGCGCTACATCTAAAAATTTTATATAAAAACTAATGTATACTGGACAATTATTAACAATACAGTTTATTTCAACATTTTTGATTTCATTAATTAAATACGATTGTAATAAAAATCGTATTGTTTAATTGAAAAATCTCTTAAAATTCATCTTTGTTTTTCATTAACGTTTTATAACGATTAGAGATTCTTCAATAATTTTACCATGACATTCATTAAAGCTGAATTAAAAGCTACCGAAGCTAGTCATAATAATGACAATAATCATAAAACAACAAATGTAACATCGAAGCTATCCATTCCAAAAGCTAATCTTGAATCCAGGCAAGAAATTTTCATCAAAACGCCATTGATTGAAAGTGTGATTCTGAAACAATATGCTGCCAACAGACCTGTCTATTTGAAAATGGAAAATTGTCAACCGTCCGGTAGTTTTAAATTACGTGGTCTTTCAAATTTATGCCAATATGTAAGTATGTTTGTTTGTCTTTGTTTCAGCTATTTTTAATCATATTGATCCGATTGTTTAGGCAAAATCACATGGATATGAACGTTTTGTTTGTCCATCCGGTGGTAATGCTGGTATGGCAACAGCATATTCAGCTCGTAAACTAGGTATGCCATGCCATATTGTAGTCAACAAACAAACACCTGAAAGTACAAGAGAAACTATTGCAGCATTCGGTGCATCAGTTGAGATTTATGGTAATTCAGTTAATGAATCAGTTGTACGAGCAAAACAATTAACTGAAGAAGATCCAAAATTGTTTCTGGTTCATCCATTCGATCACAAAGCTATTTGGTAAGTAAATAAATGTTATGAATCAAATATTTTTTTAGTATAACACTTCTGTCATTAATAAGGGATGGACATTCAAGTATGATCGATGAGATAGCTGAAGAACTTGGACAAGAACCATCGATCATTGTTACATGTTGCGGTGGTGGTGGATTAACCAATGGTTTAGTACGTGGCTGTAGACGTCATAACTGGGAAACGACCAAAATTCTATCCATGGAAGCAATTGGTTGTCATTCGTTCAATATTTCGCTCCAAAATAATTGCAAACGAACACGTATGGAAAATATGTCATCAAGAGTTGTATGTTTATCTGTCGACGAAGTTTGTCAAGAAATTTTGGATGAATACCAAAAAGCTGAACCACCCATCTTATCACGCTTAGTTGAAGAACGTGATGCTGCTAAAGCTTGTCTTAAATTTGCTGATGATCATCGTGTTTTGGTTGGACTAGCATGTGGTACATGTTTAGCCGCCTTATATGAAGGAATAATTGAACGAATGTTAACCGGTACTGAAGATCCAAAAGAAAAAGAATTGGATAAAGTTAAATTAGATTTAAATGGTAATCGAATCGATGAATATGATAATGGCGGACCAATCGTGGTTATTGTTTGCGGTGGTGCAGAGATTTCTATGAAACAAATGGATTTCTATCGTAAATTATGGAATTTCGATGACTAAATCAATTAAATCTGCAACAACAAATTGACCTCATAGTTTTATTTTTTCATAAGTATTTTTTAAATCATAAAATCATCATCAATTAATTAAAATTATTGTATTTACAACAAACAAAAAATAATTCTAATTTCATTTCCGAACATTTGTTTTGAATTCTTAAAGAACAGTTAAAATAATTTGTGTGATTGCAAACTTTAAACGTTCGAAGTGTTTTAAACTAATCATAAAAACATTCATTCAACATGATGTCCTATTTTCATCGAAACTCAATGAAAACAACGCAAAAACAACCGTTTATGTTGTTCAAAGCTGATCTATCTAAGTCATCAAAAGATCTTCTGCTTCAACTTCATCTTGAACGTGAAAAAGTATTGAAATTATTTCAGGAATCAAGCCGAAGTCGAGTACAACAAATATTGGAAGAATTAAATCAATCTATTGTTAATTATACTGCCCTTTTTCGTGGATTTGCAATCTCACCGTTGCATGATCTTGGTGGCCTTTCAGATACATTTTCAATCATTCATCCATCTCCATTACGTCGAATGTATTCATTTGAATGGACAGATTCAATCGGTGAACGGCAATTGACGATCGTTGGTGATTCATTTGTCGAATTAGCTTCAATACTTTTTAATTATGGACTTTGGCTAATGAAATGGTCAACGTCAATGTCATCGAGCAAGGCATCGAACAGGACATCGAGTAGGACATCGAGTAGGACATCAAAATCAAAAATATCGAGATCATCTTCGTCGATTATTGCGAATCCAATTGTAAATCGTGGACAAACAACACCAATCTCAGCACTAATTAAGGCAGCCGGACTGTTTCGTTATATACGGGAAAATTTAGGCCGATTTTTGATACAAAGTGATCAAGAAAACATTTTCGGTACCGATTTAGATCCGGATGTCATTCGTGCTTATGAATTCCAGTGTAATGGAGAAGCAAGAGAATTTCTTTTTCTTTCTATGATTAAAGGCAAACAAAAAAAACAATCAAAGAAAAAAACATCGAAATCTTCAGTGAAAACAAATAAAACCATTGATAATAAAAAAAGAAATATATCACCTTCATTTACATCGAAAACAATCGAAAAAACGCAACGATCATTAATGGATCTGATACGTTTGGCTCGTATGACACGTGAACAATATCGTCAATCTTCGGATTCGATTGCAACGTCTATGGAACGTAGAATAAAAAAATGGCATTGTTATTTACTCATGAAGAAATACTTGTTCGAAGGCTGGGAATATATCTTGCTACTACAGGAACGTTCGCAACCACAACCAATGGTCGATTTTGATTATGCTCCTTTGAGTATGGATGATGAAAAAGTTTTCTGGCATAAAATTAATGAATGTTTACAAGTTATTAATATTTTGAGTATCAAATACAATAAATATGGACAAGAATTTGCCAAAAATGATCCAAATTCGTGGACGAGTCGTGTGATTGATGCAAAAAAATTCCTTAAAAATTTTCAAAATCACGTAAATATGGTTAGCGAAGAAAGACGCATTAAGGCCTTATCTTTAATGGCGGATAATCCGATCACGAATAGAACAATGGTTTCTACAAATATATTGGATAAATTTGTTCGACCAGTAATATTTCATCTACCCAGATTACATGACTATTGGACTGCTGTTGTAAGTCTTGAGTTTGGTGTCGAAATATTTATTCCGAATTATGATCCATCGTCTCCAACTAATATAAAAGTTGCAAATGTCAATCTTATTACACCATTATGGCCACAACGATTTACAACATTAAAAAAAACTACTCAGGATTTGGAAAATTTCGATCAATCATTAGATGGTCAATGTCCTGAATTTCGAAATTGTTGTCTAAAATTGAAAAAATTACGATTTGAACTACATTCGATGTTCGTTGAAGAGGTTAATCTAAAAACAGTCGAAAAATTGACTGATTTCAAACAACAATTGTTTGATAAATTTAATAATTATATTTCATGGGCTGCCGGTCTATTGGCCAATAATCAATCAAGACAATTATTCGGATTTTGTTGGTCAAGCTCCATTGATCAAAATATTCGTTTTATAGTATATGATATTGAATTTGAAATTTGTTCAACAATTTATGTTTTAGCTATATGGCTCTATAGATCTGTATATGATTTGTTATTACCCACTGATGATGAAAAAGAGACTAATTGGAAAAATCGTGATTTTGATTTTTTAATTCAAACTTTACGTGAATCGGCCGGTATGTTTCAATATTTATTAGAAAGAACTAAATCGAACAAATATTTTAGCGAAAATGATTGTGATTTTCTCGAACCGATTCTTCGATCATATCGAAATCATTGTCTTGCTGAAGCTCAAGAACTTTTATTTCGTTTGTCAACAATAAGTTGGATACAATTAAAAGTTGCCATTCGAATATTACAATTATATTGGGCAATCAATGAAGATTTAAATGATTCGGCTACCATAACCACTACAAATCGACCTGAATGTACGGAAAAAATTAATTGGCGATTATTTTGTCAGATGAAATCTTATCTATACAAAGCACTTGGATATTTTTATCTAAGCGAAATGTATCCTAAATCTGGTGAACGTACGTTAGCAGCTTTGCAAAAATGTCGAGCATTGTTCAAATTTTTTATCAAACAACTTAATGACAATAAACAAAATCTACCATGGATTGTTGATAATAAACGATTCGATTATTTTGAAAAAGTTATAGAAGAACGTTTTCAACGAATGTGCATACATTTTGTTCTTAATAATCATGATAATTATATGAAAAAAAATGATATTAATTTGGATACTGTTCTACTTAATCGACAATTAGATTCAATGTTATTGTTGCAACCGATTAAATTCTATCAACCAAAAGTTGATGAATTTTGGCTTAAAGATAATACCATTCAACAAGCATTGATGGATTTAACCAAAACATCATCAACAGCAAAAGAAGTTGAAAATGCTACAACAAATGTTAGTAGTAGTCTAAATTTTCCTTCAAAACCGATTGCAGTCATCAAACATAGTAAGTTTTGAAAAAAATTGAATTTATCCAATTTATGTGTAATGTTTGTGTGTGTTTTTTTTAGATCTATCAGCAACAAAATCACAATTATCGGAACTAGAAAGAAAAATTCCATCAAAAACTATGATTATCATTGCATCACCTGCAGATCAGAAGATTGCTATTGGCCAAAAAAACAACAATAATGATGATAAAAATATAAATAATGAGGATAAAAAACCAATTTGATATTAGATATTTTATTTGATAATTGATTTAAACAAAACAAATAAATATTTGATGTAAAATCATCTATATTCATTTTCACAAATTTTCATAATTAATTATAATATCACATCTGCAGGTTGAAAATAAGATAAATCAGGATTTTCAAAAAAAAAAATTTGTCATATTGATGCTTAATAAATTTTTATTTTTTTTTGGTTCAAAATTGAAATTTTTATTAATATATAGAGATGTGGGATTAAGATATTTTATCAAACCCAAAAATAATGGATGTGATAGAAATATATTTTTGTGAAATGATGAACAAATAGGTTTGTCATAAAGCATACCTGGTAACCCAAGAATCTCAGCATTACAATTGTGGATTATCGACATATTGTCATATCATTCGATTTATTTGTGTTAATCAATGTTAATGTCACCCGGATTTAGGTGATTATCGATGTCAGTAATCAAACTACTAGTATTACAACAGTGGATTTGTTCTTCAAACACATTGTAGATGTGATCGATTCTGATTGTTGATCGTTTTGCATTAAACAATACATCAATGATCATCAATATCGATATTTTGTAGTACGCGATATCATCAAGAAATCAACGAATAACTTTTGTTTTTTGTTTTTTTAATTATATGAATAAATGCAATGATTCGAAAAAAAATTGGTTCATTTTCTCCAACGCCAATTATAACTGATCACAATTCATTAAATAATCAAAATAATGATAATGCTAGTATCAATTCTTTAGGTAGTGATTCTAATCATCGACGTTATTCAACTCAACTTCAACCGATCAGTGAAGAATATGGTTCAAATAAATCATTAACAACAATACAACCGGATCAATATTTAAATCTTCAACAAACAATCAAAAGTGGTACCACAAAAATGTTGGGCAATGGCCGTTCAATTGTTGTTCCAAAATCAGTGAACAATGTTGATAATGATAAAAAAGGTTTCATTAATCCTGCTTATGATGATTATGGTGATTCGGATGAAAGTGAAATCTTTGATGAAACAACTATTAGCGAACAAAAACAACAGCCATCACAACACCAACAATCGATTAAAACTAAGAATGTAAAACGTATGGATCGACAAGTATCGTTCGATCCGGAAACACAAGATCATCATAATCAAACAAAAATTGATCAATCATCATCGAATCATACAAAAACTAAAGTCGATATAACAAATTCGAATGATTCGGCAAAATCAATCACATTTCATCAGAATAACGATAACAATGAAACATCCAATCGACAAGAAACAAAAGAAAAACCACCGGAATGGGATCGTTTCGTAACTGAACCACCACCCGATGAAGATGAAACACAAAAAAGTGAATGGGTTGAAGTTGCAATTCGATGGTTAAAATTATTTGCATATTTTTTTACATTCATCATGGTATTACTATTGTCGGTTGGTTCGAAAACATTGATACTTTTGATGACATCAATGATCAGTGTTAATCATACAGTTACTATTTGTAATAATGATGATCATTATGAAATCGATCCACCATTAGATCATGATAAACCATATAATGCTATCTATCATGGTGATTCAATCACAAGAATTGCATGGGTATGGGCATTATATTTTGCTGCTATTTCACCGTATTTTTTTGCATTTGGTCGAAGTGTACGGATCATCTATTTCAAGACGTTTAAATTTCCGAAATTTTGGACCATTTTGACTGTAAGTTCAATGAGGTCAAGATTATGATTCTTTACTATTTTTTTTGTTGTGAAATATTAGGTGTTTGTGGCTGAAACTCTTCATTGTATAGGATTATCAATATTTTTATTCATATTGTTACCTGAAATGGATGTCATACGAGGTGCAATGATTATGAACAGTGTTTGTTTTCTTCCAAGTGTTATACGATTGATGGTCGATCCACCAACACCATCATTACAAACGAATTTACCGATTAATATTGATTTTCGACAATCATTTCAATCAACGGATGGATCAAGTATTTATGATGATTCATTTTCGGATGAACTAGAAGATTCAACCGGTCGAACTAGATCAAAATTTGAACATTTAAAATTAGCTTATAATCGCTGGTTAGCATGGATTAATTTTTCTCTACAAACATTTCTTATTATTTGTTGGACGGCAATTAGCGCTTATGATAATTACAAATATAATGAATGTGAACATTTTTATTTGATTCCAATTGCTATGATTCTAGGTAATGTATACAATTTGTACAAAAATTATCTAATAGTTAAATCATTTATTTATTTAGTTTCATTTGAATGGTGGGAAAATTATACTGTGCCCGATGCAATGAAAAAATTTTCAATGTTTTTAAGCGATGCTAAAAATGATTTAACAAAAAGTCGATATTTTGTTTTTGCCATCATTTCACCTTGGAAAATTTTAGTAATATTTGCATTGATGATATTGAATGAACATTATGATAATGGTTCGGATATGACAAGTCGAATGTTTAAAAATTTTACCGATGCTTTTCAATCGGATATTGTTTCGGTCATTCGTGATAAAAAGAATTTTGATGGACATGTTTTATTGGATACCGATCAACATGAACTACATGTTGATACAGCATTATGGCCAGTATGGATTCTTTTGGCACAGGTTTTCATAACATATTTAGCATATGCATTTGCAAAATTTACATGTAAAGTTTGTTTCCAATCAATCAGTTTTGCCATTCCACTTTGTCTTACCGTACCATGTACGGTGTCCGTATTATGGGCTTTGAATAGCATTGCACTTCAAGATAAATGTAAATTAGTATCAATCTTTCATCCATTTCAATATCTTTTCTGGAATGAAGAAGAAACTCGTATATTTCAATTCAGTTTGTATAACAGTGTCATTGCATTTATATGGATTTTAAGTTTTGTAAATCAAGTGCTAAATACATTACACATCTGGAGAGAAACAAGTGAACGATTAGCATCAACCGAACAATTGTTTGTCAGTCCAATGTATAATACAGTGATGATTGATCAATCACTTGTAATGAATCGTCGATGTTTGAAGCTAATATTTGCACCAGAAGATGAAGATCGTAATGAAGAATCAAATACAAACAAAGATGTTGAACAATCCAAAATCGAAACAACAGATCAAACTAAACCTCTAGTTTTAGAAGATAATATGAATGAAGAATTATTTATTGATCGTAAATCATACAATCCTATGTATGATTGGAATAATCATGTAACAGATTTGATGAATCAAACCAAACCACCAGAAAACGATATCGAAGATGATTGGACTAAAGATTGGCATCGTGTTTGTGAAATGATGGGCGTTGAAGAAGATTCGATTGATGCCAAAACTGATCCAGCAGATGATGAAACCATTCGAATTTATATCTGTGCAACTATGTGGCATGAAGATGAAAATGAAATGTTTCAAATGCTAAAAGCTGTTATGCGTTTAGATTATGAACAAGGATTGAGACGGATAGCTAAAAAAGAATTCGGTGATGCCGTTAAGAAAACAATCTATGAAATGGAAGTGAATATTTATTTTGATGATGCATTCGAACAAGGTAAAAGTGATGATGAAGATGATCGAGTAGTCAATCGTTTTGTTGAACAATTAATCAATACAATCGGTGGATCTGCTAATCAAGTTTTTGGTAAAAATTTAGATCTTGAACCACCGACTATTGTACCGACACCTTATGGTGGAAAATTGATATGGAAAATGCCTATGGGAACCAATCGATTAATAGCACATATAAAAGATAAAAATTTGATTCGTCACCGTAAACGTTGGAGTCAATGTATGTACATGTATTATCTATTGGGTTATCGTTTGGCTGCACGAAAAGATTTGGATGTAAAACGTAAAAAAACCATAATGAACAATACATTTGTTTTAGCTTTGGATGGTGATATCAACTTTAGACCTGCAGCTGTTGATCTGGTTGTTGATCTTATGAAAAAAAATGATAATCTTGGTGCCGCTTGTGGTAGAATTCATCCGATCGGATCTGGTCCAATTGTTTGGTATCAAAAATTTGAATACGCTATGGGTCATTGGTTACAAAAAGCTACCGAACATGTTATTGGTTGTGTTCTATGTTCTCCCGGATGTTTTTCATTATTTCGTGCTCGTGCATTGATGGATAAATCTATCATGAATAAATATACCACCAAACCCTCACAAGCTCAACATTATGTACAATATGATCAAGGTGAAGATCGATGGCTGTGTACATTATTGTTACAACGTGGTTGGCGTATTGAATATTGTGCTGCTTCAGATTCATACACTCATGCTCCAGAAGGTTTTGCTGAATTCTATACACAACGTCGTCGATGGGGTCCATCAACTATGGCCAATATTCTCGATCTATTAGGCGATTATAAACATACTGTCAAAATGAATGATAACATTTCTTATTTGTATATTATCTATCAGGCATTTTTGATGCTTGGTACGATCATATCACCTGGTACAATTTTCTTAATGGTTGTTTCTGCTATGAATACTGTAATGGGATTAACAACAGAAATGTCCCTTATTTACAACATGATACCATTGTTATTGTTTTTGTTTGTTTGTCTTCAATTCAAAGACAATAATATCAAGATTACATTTGCTACAATATTATCGGTCATTTATGCATTGTTAATGTTAGCTGTTTTGGTTGGAACTGGAATCGATATGTATACGAAAGGTTTCTTTTCACCGAATTCGCTTTTCTTTTCCGCTATGATGGGTAGTTTTATAATGGCTGCTGTATTACATCCACAAGAATTTGCTTGCGTTATTCCATTACCAATCTATATGTTATTCATACCTAGCATGTATATGTTATTAACAATTTATTCTATAACAAACATGAATGTCGTATCATGGGGTACACGTGAAGTTAAATCTAAATTATCTGCAAAAGAAATGGCTAAAGAAAAAGAAGAAGAAGAAGCAAAAGCTGCAGCTGCAGCAGCAGCCAAAAAGAAAAGCAATTTTTTGAATTTAGATTCATTTGGTTCCAGTAAGAATGGTCTTTTTACGTGTATGTGCTGCTCAGGTACAAATGAATCATCCATCGATGAAACATTGAATGTCGATGTTAAAGATATAAAATCACAAATGAAAGAGATAAGTAAACTGATCAGTCAAGAATTTAAATCGGATCATAGATCAGTAAAAGATGAAAATGATCAAAATGAAAACACTAATTCAAAAAATAGTGAAGACAATCGACAACACGAACATCATATCAATGATCAACAGCAACAGCAAAATGATACCAATAAAAATTCATCTAATGAACAAATATGTCGACGATCACCACCAACAACTCGAATCGGAAGTTTTAAAAAACCACGATGGGTCAGAAATAATCCACGACTTAATTCATGGCCTATTCGTGATATACCAGAACGTGAAGAAGAATTTTGGAAAAAAATGATTGCTAAATATCTTTATCCTTTGGATGAAGATCTTAAAGAAAAAGAACGTATTAGTTTAGAATTGGCCGATCTTCGTAACAAATATGTTTTTGCCTTTTCATTTGTCAATATTATTTTTATTTTGTTTGTATTCATGTTACAAATTCATAAAGATGTATTTGGTATCGATGTACCAATCGGAACAAATGGAACATCAGAAATTCGTAATGAAGATGAAGATCGTATTGAACATGTTGATAATATTATCTATACTCGAATGGATCCAATCAATTTGACTTTGGTCATTTTTTTCGGTGCTATTCTTATCATTCAATGTATTGGTAAGTCAATTAGTAAGCTAATACAAATTTAACGTTTAATTTTTTTTTCATATAAAAATTCTATTATCAGGTATGTTTATTCATCGTTTTGGAACATTAGCACATCTATTAGCCTATACGGAAATTCGTGAAAAGAAAAAACAAATTGATTATTCTTCATTAGTTGCACAATTGATTAGAGAAAAAAGCAAAAGAAATAGAAGAAGACGTCGTAAACATTCAAAAAAAACATTAAATAAAATACCAGATTCCAATTTGACAACTGATGATGAAGAATATAAAACTGATGATGATGGTAAAGGTTCGCTAAAATCAAGCGATACTGATGATGTTAAGCCTAGTGATTATGGTAATGTTTTTGGTGAAGTAATACAAAAACTTAAATCTGGTAAGTTCATTTTGATTATCAAGATCTTCAATCTTAATTGTTTATTTAATATGATATCATTTGATAGATCAATCACGAATCGAAAAAATTCCGAAAATTATACGTAAAAATACTAAACAGGCAATCCGAAGACAAGAACATCAACAGAGACAAAACAAAATTCATCGAGATTCAATACATTCGGGCATATTTGCATTGGATCGAGATTCTAGTAATGCTAGTTCATATGCTTATCATCGACGTTTAAACAAAACGAATTCAAATCAATCCGGTTTTTCACAACAGACAATCATTGAACAACAATCAAATCAATGGGCCAACAATAATAATCGACAACCAATGGCAACATTTTCGACTAATCAATCTGGAGCAATTGGTGTGGCAATGAATTCACCAAAAAATCAAACGGATATCATAACGAGCGATGAAGAAATCAGTCGATTATGAAAATGAAAAGAAAAAAATTTCGAAAATTACAATTTTTTTGCTATTTGCTTTGTTTTGATCATTATTTTTTACATAATATTTAGTTAATGAATTCTATAGAAAAATAAATATATTGTCCTCACAAAAAAATAAAATAACGAAATAATCGACCTTTTCGATTGTTTTCGGAAATGATTCAAGTATATAATTGACATAAATAGATATTTTTGACAATCAACAATCTCAACAACATCTTATTTATTTTAAACACATTGACCATGAATATTTGTTGTTATTTATCATTTTTAATGATATTTGGAAATTTTGTTTCATGTCTGATAATTATTATTATGGCATTGTATCATTTTTTTTGTTTGTTTACTGATACTTGGATCATTACAAATGATTATTTGATAATTTTGCTTGCGCCAAAATCTTTGTTAAAAGATACAGATATTCATATTGAATCAAATTCAAAAAAAACAATATTTTTTTTTTATTTAATCATTAAATCAATTTTAAGTGTTTGTAAGTTATTTGGTTTAGAATTATGAGATTACACGAATCGGTATTGTTATCTGGTAAAAAAAAAATCAAAAGAAATATTCATTTTTTGTTGTTGTTTCATTTCACTTAAATTCTCATTGTTTCAATTGATCAATGTTTTTCTTTTTTTTTGATTTACAATGATTCAAAAATATCGAAAATATAAGTAATTGGTGTTGGTCGAAGATCTTTGGCTTTCTTTTTAGGTATCTCTTCAAACAATTTTGAACATTTAGCATCATCATCTTCATAACGATTACAGATTAAATTCATTGAATCAACAGTTGCTTTATGAATTAATTGTTCATAACCTTCAATTGATTCTTGATCACAATCGGCAGTTTTTTTCCATGCATTACTGTTACATTTAATCCAGGCATAATATTTACAACAAACAATTGGTATACGTGATTTATTGTTGGCAACTTTACGAGCTAAATTCATGCCTTCATTCATTTTATCCCAACATTTTTTTGTTTCCGGTTTTGCAGCATTACCACATTTAGACCATCGAACAAATGCTTCCTAATAAGATAGATTATCCATATCATATGGAAATTTTATGTTTAGAAATTTTTTTTTTTGATATAGTAAATAAATAAATAATAAAATTAAAACTTACTCGTTTTTTTCCATTTTTAGCACAATATGGTTTATTTACACGATCAACATTGTACACCTGAAGATTTAATAATGTTTGTGATGTACCGGTCAAACAACGTTCACCAAAATCTTTTGACAAAACTTTATTATTAGTAATATTTCGACAATATTCTTTTAATTTAGCTTGTGTTTCGGGCAAACCCAAATAATCAAGACCAAAATGACCATATGCTTTAGCAAAACTAGCATCGAAAACATCTACTGAACAATTTTTAGCTTTAGTGTATTGAGCATCAGTAACAAATGAAACTGCACACAATACTAATGAAAAAATGGCAAATCGAATCATTTTTTTTGGTTGGATGTAACTAATAATGATGATGATAAGCGAATGATGTCGAATGATTCGATTGGTATTTTATATAAGAAAAAATCTCAGCTACGGACAAGTGGAACAGAAAATAAATAAATAATCGTCTTTTTTTCATGTTTTCAAATTTCTTTTTCTAAATTGTATATCGAAAGATTTGTCGTTGAAACTTGTCACCTGGTCGATGTCGGCGTGGCATATTGTATCATTGATATATGCGGTTAGTTTAAATGTGTATGTTTGTGGTGGTATGATATTATCATCATATCACTACATCATAAAGAAAGAAAGAAAGAAACTTTCTTTGATTTCATTTGAAACTCTCACCATTTACATTTTTTTTTCGTTGAAAATACTTGATTTCGATTTTTTTTCTGTTGAAAAAAACCACATTTGCAAAAAAAACCTGTTGAATTTAAAGTTTGAATCGAATGATGATGATGTTGATAAATTGCATTTATCTTTGGATGATAATTGTAATATTAAATGGATAAAACAAAATCAGGATCGTCGTGATCATATCATCATTGATCGTTAGTAAATTTAACAAAATAGTTCTCTGTTCTTGAAGAAAAACATTAACAACAACAACAACAACAAGTTTGCTGCAACAAGTTTTCTTATTTTCATTGATAATACACACACACACAGCTATAAATATTTTTCTTTCTGGATATTTTGTCAATTTCTCTTATTGTTGTTGTTGGAAAAACAATTTGCAATGTCTCATTTCAATATATTTGTTTTTTTTAGAAAGATATTTCTGGCCCAAATCCATCAAATCAATTTCATATCAATTCAATTCTTATAACTTATCTTTTTTCTTTGTTTCAATTGATAGATTGACGAACAAACTTTGAATGGAATTTGAATTTTTAAAAAAAACAAGAATTCAATTGTTGATTGAAAATTTTTTTTTTGAACTTTGTAATTTGTTAGCATAAACAAGTTGTTGATATGAATATCAGCGGCAACAAAAATATTAAAATCAATTTTGGGAAATTTCGAAATTAGATATTATTTTATGAGAAAAAAAACGAACCCAGAAAAAAAAGATTTCTATCCCAAATCAATTAATGGTTTCTTTCAAAAAAATGGAATTAGGCTGGTTATAAAGTCTCATCATTTAAATGATTGTATTTGAAGGATTTTGTCTTCTTTATCAACAATTAAAATGATTGATTGAAAAAGGGCATCCCATTGGAATGAATGAAACAAAAATGAAAACAAATCGAATGTCAATTTCATTTGTCCATGGAATATTTATTGTTGCGATTTTTTTTATTTACCATTTTTTTAATCGATTCACACCTTTGTTCAAATTTTTACATTAAAAAAAATTTCAGTTTACTTTTCTCGATCATTTATTATTCGACATTGAAAAATTCAAATCTTTTTCACATGACAACAATTTCAGGTGAAATAAAATTGATAAAGTGATAACTTTTGATAGTATTTTTATGATTATCACTATACCATTATGTTGACATTGAATCTTTGAATAGATTGATTGATTAATTGATAACAAGGAAACAAAAATCTGGTAATGCAGAATTTTTCCATTTGAATTTATATGAAAGAAAATAATTGATATTGATTACGAAGCTGATCGATCATTGGTTTCCATTCAGGATCATTATACAATTCACGTATGGTTCGATTCAATTCGGAATTTGTTTCATTCGAACGAAATTCATCCAATGTTTTTGTTAACATTTGATCAAGAACTTTATCATCATCAGATTTTAGCTGTTTTGGTGATTTAGAATCGTTGTCCTTATTATTATCGATATATTTTGATTGATTTTTCGATTTCAAATTTATCTTTGATGACGATGATGATGATGATGATAACACAGAAGGTTTTGTATCTAATAATGATGTACTTTTTTTCAAAATTTTAGCTGATTTTTTATTTAAATGATCTGTTCGTGATGGTGACCTCAGCAATGTTGAAGACAATGGTAATGTTTTGTTCACAATGTTTGTTTGTGAACCACAACTAAATTGTCGATCAAACCATTTAGCCATGGATTTTGTATCAACATTTTTTGTAATAGATTCATGTTCTTTGATAGTTGTTGAAATTGTTTTCATATTATTCGTTGACAATTTTATCGGTTCTTTTGGCCTTACTTGTTTTGACCATTGATCAATTGTAGCCAATTGTAATACCAAATAATCTTTACGTTCATTTAATTCACGTCGTTTTTGATCAATGCATTGACATTGTTCATGATAATGTCGGGTGGCATTTTCATATTCACTACGTAGTTTACGCATTTTTTCATTGATCATATCAAGTTCACGGGCTAGCCGAAATGTTTGACAACGGCTAGCTAATGGCCTTATTATCCATAAGATTAATGATGATATAAGGAAATAGGTAAATTTTAATAAGGTCAATATCCATACGAATGGTCTCAATATGATAAAGGCCGTAGATAATTCTGATGGCGTTGTATTTGAAGTCATAATTTATTTTTTACACACAGTAATCAGATCATAGAATCACAATCATAATGCAAATGACAAATGATTGAAAAGATTTGTTTTTTTTTCTTTTGCTATTTTTTTTTTGTCATCATCATTTCATGACAACAGAATATTGCCGGCATTCAAATGTGTGTATATTCTTGGCAAAAGTTTTTCGCGACTAAAATTATTTTTGTCATGCATGGAATAGAATAAAAAAACAACACAGTTCTTGACACATCATAAATAGATTCTTAAATTAGAATTCAGTGAATAGACAGTGAAAGAATTTTTACCTTTACGTTGTTATTTGTGAATTTAAAAAAAAAAGAAAAGAATCAACGAATTTCAAGGATCATTTGTGAAAACTTGAGTTTAATTTACAATCTGTAGCACCATCTATTGGCCTATTCATTATTTGATTTCTTATATAATCGGACATTTGATGGATCAACTTTTTATTTCGACCACAACAAATTCACATTTGACATGGATTTTTGTCTATAAATATTATGATGACCTTCATACCTATATCTTGTGAGCGTTGGTGGTATAACGGCTATTATAGCTGCCTTCCATACTGAATGTTATCATTCGAAAGATGAATGAATGAAATACATTGATGGAGTGAGCAGTTGATCCGGGTTCGACTCCCGGCCAACGCATTGGATTTACGTAAAATTTTATTTTTTGCTGCTATTCATTCGATAACAAAAATTTTTTTCCATGAAATTCATTTCAAGGATCAATTCCATTTTTTTATCATTATTCAACATCAATTTTTGAATATTTTAAAGTAAAATAATGGAAAAAAACCTTTACTAAACTTGAATTTATTGAATATTAAATGAATTTTTTTTAAATCAGATTAAATGATAATGAAAAAAAAATGATTTGCTTATTTAATCAAATCATCAATCAAATGAAAATTTTTTTGGAAAAGTTTTTTTTTTTTGGAATGAACTTGACAGTACAAATTCTTGTAGTTTATTCGAAGAAAATAAAAATTATTAGTTTAAACAGAATTAAAGAGAGATTATAATCAACCAAGAAAAAAGTACAAATGAAGTGTGTGTGCGTGCGATTTGTTAAATTCAAGGTTAAGATTTCAAATTATTTTGGTTTTGAAAAAATCAATTCAATCCAATTCAATCCAATTCAAATTTATAATGATTCAAATATATCGAAAATATATGTAATAGCAATATCACGAACATTTTTTGCTTTAGTTTTAGGTAATTCTTCATAATATTTTTCACATTTTTCATTATCATCTTCAAAACGATTACAGATTAAATTCATTGAATCAACTGTTGAACGATGAATAAGATCTTCATAGCCTTGTATAGATTTATCATCACATTCTTTTACTTTACGCCATGCAGCACTATTACATTTAATCCAGGCATAATATTTACAGCAAACAATTGGTATACGAGATTTTGTATTCAATACTTTACGTGCTTGATGCATTCCATCATTCATACTTTTCCAGCATTTTTTTGTTTCCGATTTGGCTGCATTACCACATTTTGACCAACTTATAAATTCATCCTAAATTTAATATTTTAAAGGGAACAAAACAAAGAATTTTTGATAAAGTAAACAAGATTGAGGAAAAAAAATCATTAAAAATACCTTTTTCTTTCCATTTTTAGCACAATATGGTTTATTCACACGATCAACATTATAAACCTGTAGATTTAATAATGTTTGTGATGTACCAAGCAAACAACGGGTGCCAAAATCTTTTGAATAAACTTTATTAGCAAAAATATCTTTACAATATGTTTTCAATTCAGCAGCCGATGTTGGTAGTTTAAGTTTATCGACACCAAAATGACCGTATGCACGGGCAAAACTTTGATCAAAATTATCAATGGAACAATTTTTTGCTTTTGTATATTGGCCATCACTTATGTCGATTGTCATCATCATCATCATGATGACAAATGATGTAATAATTTGAAATTTAAACATTTTTCTAAAAAAAAATTGATTTTCTTGTAAAATTCAAAATTGAATAGAATGACCTGATCAAACGATATGTTGGCAAGTTTTTATACGAATTCGCCAACATTCGCTAATGATGATTCATATTATTAACTCAATGAATATTCAATTAGATAATTGATTAGGATGGGAAAAAAATTAAGCAATTCTTGATAATAATTATAAGATAATTCTCGAAATTTTTTCATTCAAACGTCAAGATTAATTTTTAGTACTGTAAATATTAATTTATTGATCAATTTCCTCGTGTTTTTTCGTTGCTGTTAGTGATAATTAAAGTCATAATTTTTATAACTTTATTGACAAAATTATCATCCAAAAAAATGCATTTACTGTATTTGTTTGCTTTTTCGTATTGAGGTTGCACAGGTGTGTGTGTGTATATCAATTGATATATCGATATTGATGAGCATTTTGTTTGTTGATTGATTGATTGATTGATTAATTTCCATTGAAATAATGCAAGTATAATTGACATTAATTTGAAATTGTGAAATTTCTTTCTTTCTATGGTTTCGCCCAGAATACATCCTGTCAATTTATTGATTATTTTTTTTCATATAAAAAAAATTTGATAAATTTGTTGTTATCAATTTGTTTCATATACATAACTTTATTCAAATGTAAATCAACAACAACAACAAAAATTTTTGTACCCAATTTCAAAATTGTTTTTTTTCTATAGAATTCGTTTTTAAAACAAAATGGATTATGATGCTGAAAAATATGATTCAGGTGCTGCCGATGCACAACAACCAGCAAGAAAATTAATTCATTTGATTCAGGATTATGTTCGTGAAAAATATGGTAAAGAACAAACAACATTCGATTCGTTGATAATTGTTGATCTTGGCTGTGGTCCAGGTAATACGGCCGAAATGTTAGCCAATCAATTTCCCGGTGCTAAAATTGTTGGTCTTGATATTGATCCTGAAATGATTGATTTTGCTCGAACAAAACATCCAGAACATAAATTTTTTGTTCAAAATATTGAACAACCGTGGTCAGAATGGCCAGAAGATTTTCGATCAACATACGAAAATAAAGTGGATATTATTTTTGCCAATTATGCATTACATTGGATAGATAATACTAATTCATTTGCCGATACAATTCGACAATTATTACGACCAACCGGAATGTTTACAGGAAATCTTTTATATTGTGGTTGGCTTCAATCCGAAGATAATAGCGATGATAAACGAGATGAAATATTGTTAAATGAATCACTTGATTATCCAAGAGAAATGGAATTTGTTTCAAAATTTTTCTGGTCATTACGAACAAATGGAAATTTTCATTGGATCAATATGGAATATCAGGAACCAGTTTCACGATTTGGTCGACAATTCTACACCGATTGTAAGTCTTCACATTTGAATTGATGTCAAATTATTAAAATAAAATATCTTTAAATTTACAATAGCATTTATCGAAATTCCATTGAAATGGTATCGAAAATTTTTAAAAAGATCTATGAACGATCAAGAGATTGGTCGCCTTAATGAAACACTAAAACGTTTGATATTGAAACAACGAATCTGTAAAGTGATTCCAGCCAATAAGGATGATCCATCATCCGTTGAACAGATCGATCTTCGACAACAGCTTTATATTTTTAAAGCAATTAAAAATTAAGTGAAATTTTTTCAAATTTTACAAGAAATTATTAAAAGTAAAAAAAAAAAAGAAATTCGAATTTTGAATTTCATGCAATAGATGTCATTATTGTAAAATGTGGATAACAAAACATTCGAAAATTCAAAAATGGTAGTGGTATTACGGTATCCATGATATTTATTCATGCATAAGATTCAATGATGCACAAAATGATTCGAATCTTTAAAAGTAGTAGTGGTAGTAGTACACCTGTAAGTGTATGCGTGTAGATGTTTACGAATTTAGATGGTGTATCCAAAAAACATTCTTTTGTCTAACAACAACAACAACAACATCGAACGAATCATTGAAAAAAATTGGATCTCGCCCTAAAACAGCTGCTTTTATTTAAGCGAATTACGATTGTATTGCACATTTTTTTACGAACAATTTTTTTTGTTCGATTGTAAAATAATTTACACGACGACAAAATAATCTTTTTATAAAATCTAAAAATTGTCGTTTGTTTTTTTCTTTGGTTTCTTCCCGAATTCCTATCGAAATGATAATCAATTTCCGATTTATATGGAATGAAAATAAATAAATCGATTATATCCTGTAAATAGTATTGTATTTCGTATGATCAATATCTTCTTTTTTTTTGTTTTCTTTGGTCAATGTATGTTTATCATATGCGGAAAAAACTGTTTGATCTATTTTCATGTGAAAAACAATTAAGAAAAACAAACATCATTCATTTGGTTGGCTAGGAAATTGGTCGAATAAAAATGTCACCATTTTCATAGTCCGGAATCGAAAAAAGTCGTAGAAATTGACGATGAAAACAACAAGGTTCGTGATCCTTCATTTTTATCTCTAATCGGTAAATTTTCATCTTTTCATTCATAATGTTACTGGACAAATTTTCTTTAAATATTCATTGTTCATTAATTCATATTCGTTTGTCATCGATAGCATCGATGACGACAATAATTTCTGGATTTCAAATCCGTTGTTCATTTCCGTGTTAGTGTTGTGTATATTTTCTATGAATATTTTGTCTGTGGAATTAGAGTAACAACAACAACAACCAAAAAAAAAAACTTGATCAAAATGATTTAATCTCTATTTTTGTTATTATAATGATGACATAATAATGGCAGCCTTAAAATACTTGAATTGAGGATGTCTGTTGACTTATTTGTATGTATCCTCTTGACGCCTGATGATGAGGATAATGAACTCTTTGATTTGGCTTCAAATATTTTTCTCTTCTTTTTTTCACTTATTATTTACTCATATCCAGTTCGTGTGTGTTATTGTGCTCTCTTGTTAGTCCACATAACACATTTCCCATGACGATGATGTTATGAATTCCTTGTGCCAAAGAATATCTTATCAATTTAAAAAAACAAACAAATAATGTTTATACAAAGAATTGTCATTTTTGCATAATCGTTTTTTAATGCTCAATAATAAGCTGCAATTGATGTCTCTTATCACTTTTTTTTGTTGTCTGTTAATATTATCAACCGCTGCCCTTTGGAATCTAATCTTCTATTTTTTTTCTTAATTCTCGTGATTTTTTTGCGTCATAAATATATGTTTTTTTTTTGTGAGAAAAAAGTTTATTTGCAAAAAAAAAAAATAATTTCTTTAGAATTCCAATGATAAATACAATGATTTTGTTTTTGTTATTCATAATATAAATCATCGATAATCAATAATTGATATTTGATTTTGTTCTTTTTCGAATTAAATGATTACATCATTGTTTTTTTTCAATCGTCAGTCCTTGGCCTTTTCAACACACACACGCTGATCATGATTTTTTTAAATGTACAATTTAAAAAATGAGAGAAAAATACTGTGATTTCATCTCTGAAAATATTATTATCGTTGTGAACAAAAAAAGTTGTTTACAAACATACAAATACAAATAATTCATATCGAAGTTGATGAAGTTATATCATCAGATTATCATTTTGCAAATCAATTTTCCAGAAACATTTATATATACTCACACAACAGATCAGATCATACATATTTAGATGCAAACATTTATTTTTTTCAATTATTCACAACCAAATTCTTCAATTAATATCTGATCTAAAATATTGATCGATTTTTTTCGTGTTTGTTGTTTTCCACTTGAAAAAATCTAACCCATTGTTACACGAATACACTATAGAAGAACCTTGAATTTTGATCATTACATTTGTTTATTTGATCGTTATTTCCTTTTTTTATGTTATTGTTTTTTTTTGTTTTGTTTTCCTGACATTGCATGTTTCTGTGTTTATATATTGAACTATTTCCCGTTGATCATTGCTTATCATTGACATGATGAATGATAATAATCATAATACTATCATATCCAGAATGTCTAATTTGATTGGTAATTTTCAACAACATATTGATTTATCATTCATTTTTTACATTTGATAAAAATTTATTAATTTTATTTTTTTTCCTTTTTTTCAACACACAACAGATAAATTACCGGATAAAACCATTGAATGATTCTTACACCTTGATGATGCTATAATCGAGAATTTTTTCGTAATTTTCGCAAAATAAAAAAAATGCTCATATAAATAATGTGATTTTTTTTTGTATCGACATTACCATCCATTCTGATTTATTTATCTCGAACAGGAAGCAAAAAAAAGAAGAAATATTGATTTGAAGAATTGATCTCAAGAATAATTTTTATTTGGAAAATATTTTGTTCCCAATTTTTTTTGTGAGCGTTGGCATAATCAAAGTATAATCGAGAGATTTTTTTTATTTGATAAATTCAATAGTTCGGGAAGAAAAATGACCTGTTCAGGTTGTCTGTTTGGTCTATTCAAGATCATATATGTCACATTGACATTTATTGTACTAGCCATTCACATCCAATACATTTGGTTATATTTGGCAAACGTACGTGATATAGAATCTTTTTTTAATCATAATCAATTTGCCCATTTTATGGGTATCTTTCTTGGCTTCTTATTCCGTATCAGTGGCCTATTGTCGGCTTGTAAGGAAAAGATTGCCTTAACCTGTACATATAGCTTATTTTTAGTGTTGATATTATTAATTTCACGTCAAATGGATGTTATATTTGCCATACATGCCATAACGGCCATCTATGCAATGTGGTTCGTATTGGCGCTGAAATATGTACGCCATAAGAAAAAACGTCGACAACTTCGCCACCAATTACCAACATCGATTATAACCGGTGGAAACGGTTCAGGTCGAAATGCTAGTCGCCAAAATCGAAGTTGTTCAACAACGACAACTGGAACAACATCTAACGCTAATACTCGTTCATCTTCGATAACTGTCGATCTATTAGCTGATCCAGCAGGACGTGTAATAAATGTTATACCATCGGCTCCATCATTTAATGAAACACCGGATACAGCTATAACAACGGCAACTGGTTTTGGTAGTTCAAATAATTTACAGCCACCAATGTATGATCATGTTGGTTATCCAACATTAAATCATACTCCACCACCATCATATACAGAATTATTTGAATCAAAACGATCATAATTTCATAATTTGAATGAAACTGATCAACTCATTTAACAACATCTCAAACTTTTTTTAAATAAACTTTTTTCCTAAATATTTTTTTATACATTTTTACATATAAAGATTCTCATCATTTATACAATTAATCAAATTAATCACCGCCGAAATAAACAGTGAGCTTTCATTGCAAAAATACTGCACAACAACAAAATCAATCATTACACAACCAGATTTTTTAAACAACACACGCACTTATTGATTTTAGCTTCTTCTCCCATAATTTAATTGTAAAATACTTAATTTTTTTTGTGTTGTAATAAAAACAAAATCATAATTTTTTTTTATTTATTCTTTAATTGGATTGATATTTTTATTTTTATTTTTTTGGAAAATCGGATTCGTCAATTTCTAATTATCTCTATTGGAAGGAAAAAGATAGCTTTAGATCAATTTAACATGATGCCATTTATCAATTGCCACCTGATCGGCAATAGGATTTGGTTCAACAGTATTACTAGCAGGTCGCGTTTCTAAAAATTGTTTCGCCTGTTCATCATTGATGGTATATGAATTACCAAGTGTTATATTCTTCAAATCTAATTGATGTTCACCAGCTTTGTTTTCCATCATTTCTCGCCAATATTGATGCGTTTCTTCAACAACTTTTTCGGCAAATTCACGATCTTTAGCTTCACCATTGAAGGCAAATTTATTTGCAGGTTTACCATCAGGAATTTTATAGATTCTAAACCATTCAACTGTTGCTCGAAGTAAACCAGGTAATAATTTTTCAACATCATCAACATTATTCATTTGACCAGCCAATTCATCACGTGTATCAATAGTGATGATTTTCCAATCAGTTTCACCTTCATCAATCAATGCAATTGTACCAAGTATTTTTACCGGTATAACATCACCACGTTTAGCTATACGTGAACCAATTTCAATGACATCAATCGGATCATTATCACCTTTTGCTTTAGTTCCTTGATCAATATGATTAGGATTTTCCCATGTTTGTGGAAAGGCACCATAATTCCATATGTATCCTTTATGAGGGAAGACATTTTTCACATAACGAAGTGCACCTTTTTTAACGTCCTGTTTTATTGGCGTCATTGGTTCGGCAGTTGCAATCTCCATTTTTTCATTAGTCCAACGTGGAATTTCAACAACCATATTGTATTGTTTAGCCGATTTATCGGCAAACAATGGGATATCGTGCCAAGGACTAATTATTTTTCCATTACTATCATTTTCTGTTTATTTTGTTAAATCGATTTTTAAAAAAAAAGAAATAAAAATGAGTCATTTATATTTGGATTAGATTGGATACTTACTGAAATAAATACGATAATCAAGTGAATTCAATGCACCACGATTATCAACAGAATAATTTGTAGACATTTTATTATTGGTTTTAGTGGCAAAAAATTTTCTTAATTGATGATTTTGAACAAAATGAACTTTGTTTCCAATGTTATACGGTTGTTGTTTATAATGTACGTTTTTTGATATTGAAAAATTTATCGATAATGATGCTATGGATGATAAATGATGATATTTGAAGGACTGATGAGGATGTTTGAAGGAGAAGTAAATATAACGATTATGAAAATTATTATTAATACCAATGATTGATATTAAAGATCCTGGTATCGTTTGTCTGGTCAATAAATTTATTGATCTAATAGACATTGTTTTCAAATAATTAAAGAAAATATTTCTTTTAAAGAGGATTATTTTTGTTTGTAAAGAAAAGGAAATATCTACTGTATAAAGATTGTTAATTAAAAAAAATTTTGTCAATTAAAATAAATTAATCTAATAAGAATTTTAAACAATGGATTAACAGAAAAATATCTGATGCAATAATTATTTATCAAGAATAATGATTTTTGATTGACATATTTAATCTGTTATTTTTTGATATTTATCTCCTATCAAAATATTATTGTTGGTCAAGGTACAATCAGAAAAAAATTTTCAAGATTAAATTGATTTTTTTTATTGACAACAGCTGATTATATGATCGATTGATTAAATTATTAGGAAAAATCAATTGATTGATAAAATTTCTAACAATTAGTATCATTGTAAATAAACTCAAAGGTGTTATATAAAAAAAAAGATTAACACAGTGAAAAAAGTGTTTGAGAAAAATTCTTTTGAAACAATCATCATCAATTGTGATAAGCATGTTTATCGGATAGCTTACCTGATTAGGGTGATTTATCAATCAATATTTAATAAAGAGAGATAGAAAAAAAACTATGTCAATAATAAGTTTATTGATCAAATATAGATGAAAACTATCTGGATTGGATTTGATGATCACTTTAACGACGAAAATCAACGATATGAATGACAGACTGTTGAGCCGGCTAACAAAAATGAGTCCAAATCGATGACGATGATGATGAATCCACGCACTTTCAGCAATGAAATTTTTTTATTCACACTAACTTTATTTATCATGGCCACATGGTGGCGTCAATTTTGATTTTTGTTTTAAATGATCAAACGATAGATGGCATTTAAAAAAGTATTGAATTTTTTTTATTTAAAAAGAATGGAATAAAAATAACGGGAAAAAATAACAGAATAACAGAATTAGCTGGAAAAAAAATCAACCAACACGTCTAGCCATAATACGTAAAGGTATTTGTCGACCACTTATTCGATCACGAATTTGAATAGCAGAAAAACTAATTGAACTTGATGCAGGTAATGGACGGCCATTTATGAATAGCATTAGATTTCTATTAACATCCATTCGTCGAATCATAGCACCTTGATTTTTTGAAATAATATAAGATGATAACAAATGTGAATAGAAAAAGGAATCAAGAAAAACATACCTTTGGTTAGAATAAAACCTAATAAAAAACGTTTCAAAAGTAATAGTGAAAATTTTAAATTCATCGTATTTCTTTTTAATTATAATTTTTGGATAATGATGAAAACATTTTTTGTTTTTGTTTGGTTGGATTCATCATCGATCATCGAATATTTATAGCATTCTAATTGAAGAGTTTTATTTGTACAGATATTATCGATAAAAACAAACAGCTGTAAAAACATTTTGTTTTTGTTCATTTTGATTCCGATACAATAAACAATGCACATCCAACATCAGCATCACATTTGTCAACATATTCTATATCGATTAATGATGATTGCAACAGGTTGGATAATAATAACATATCATTGTTGTTTTTGTTTTCATTATTTTCATATAAAATTCTTCTAATTACTAACAATAATGATCGTTGAAGAATTGGATTGTTAGCTATTACACTACCTGTACATATTAATTTTGTTTGTATTTTTTGTTTGAAATTATTTTGAATTGTTTCCGATACATTTGGCATCATATTGAATACATTTTGTATTAATTCAAAACATAAACAATTGATTATATTGAATAATGATGGCTGTTTTCCTCCGGATATATTTACCGTAAAAACACTGTTCAAATCATGTCGTTCACCAAACAATGTTGGTTTAATCGATATGAAATTTTCTTCATCAGATTGATCATTATTTGAAAATTCTGTTGGAAATTGATGAAAAAGTTTTTCCCAAATTTCTGTTCTGGTTAAATCATTATTTGTTAAACATTTGACGGTCGATTGAATAAAACCCATAAACGATTGTAATACATTTCCACCGTTTAGACTTGGTGCAACCAATAGATATTCATTATTTTTAAATGGATAATAATCATATGATTGAATGGGTAGTTGTGATTTTCGTGGTATTTTTAATGATAGATCTTTGTCAACAAGTAATCGACATATCTGTGCTGCTGTACTCATGTTCAACACTTTAAACATTGACATTAAAATCGTATAGTTTTTTTTCGAAATAATCAAAATCATACCTATTGCATCTGGATTATCTTTAAATGCTAAAAACATCATTGCTTGTAGATCACCAATCGCAACATAGACTGGAATTCCAGGTTTAATTATCGAATGCCATTGAAATTGTGTTTGTCCAACGATAACATTCGATTCGACTGGTTTGGGCAATAGATGAACAGGGAATTCGGCTTGTTTCAGACTTTAAACCAGAATTTGTAAATTAGTTAATATAAAATTTTCTTTCTTTTTGACTTACATGTCTAAATTCCAGCCAGGTTTAATTGGATCTAAATATGCCCATGCATGAGCATTATGAATGCTAATTGAAACAATATTCAAACGACACAATAAACATACAAACCAATCCATAATTGTACCACATCGATCGAATTGATTTAGATAATCTGGTTTAAAACGTTTTAACCAGAACAATGTTGCACATCCAAATCCAGAACTAACTTTATCGGCAAAACTATCTGGTTTTGGTAATGTTTTCAAAAATTCTTCATTACATCGTCCATCAGTCCAATCATAATTATCGCTAATCATATCGAATCTTAAGTTTTGTGGATCGAATGGTTCGTCAAATAAACGATGATTCCATAGAACACAGCTATGCATCTGTCCACAAACAGTAATCGAATCGATTTGACCATCGAATTTTATCGATTTTAAAGCATTATCGATTGCTTCGAAAATTATTTTTACATTTTGTTGTGAATAATTAGGCGGTAGATTATTAGCACGTATACGTTGAGTATCATAATAACATTTAGATTGTGATTTAATTTCATAAGAATTATTATGAATGGTAACTATTGAAATTTTGACACTCGAAGTTCCAATATCAATACTTAGAATATTTTTATCCATCTTCTGTTGTTAGTGAATGTCATCAACACAAATGATCAACGAAAATAAATTTATCTCGATTTTTCTAAGCAAATTGATTAGTTGAATCAACATGTAGTGGTAATTTATTGCCATTTTCAAAACTTCATTATCAATAAATTACTGAGTTGTTGATGTCATTTCATACAATCTTTAATCACAATATTTACTTTAACAATTTTATTTTGTTTGTCCGAATCAACTTTAAAAGTAATAAAAACTTCATCAATCATTTTATTGTAAATAATTTAAGCAAATATTTTTGGACGCCAAAAGTCATCACAAATTGATTTGAAATAATTGTTAACCATATGATAATGTTTCGAATCCAATGCCATAAAATGTGCAGAAGATGATCCATCAAAAGCTTCTTTCCATTCAATATTTGTGTTGCCAATCGTTCCTTGAATACCATTCTGAGCAAAATGAATCCATGCTTCGATCATATCACGACTTAGATCACGTTCATGTTGTGTAAATGATATCTTATGTGCGAAACGAAATGGAACACCAAATATATAGAAAAGATCTTGTCGATGTCCTACACCATTCCATTTGTTATCAAAAAACATCGATTTAACAGGTGCCATTAAACGATATGAATATTGTTTTGTATCTGAAAATCGGCGATGATATTCTTCACCATACAAAATTGTCGGACAAATTATATGATAGTCACCGTAGGCATGCGACAGGGCAATTCTACAATAAAAAGAATCAATTATCGATTAATCAAATTTTGAAAAATTAACTGACCTTTTTTCTTCAAGCGTTGAAGAATCATTCAAATTTTTCGTGTAAAAATGTACCACATCTTCAACATATGAATGTTTTTCAAAACGTTCACGAATCTTTTTCTTCACTAAATTAACACTCACATTGTGTTCACCATCGAATGAATTTTGTACATAGAAATCACCTTCATCCCGATTCGCTCCAAACATAAGATCAACTTTATTGATTTTGTAATGATCATTTTTCAATGCTTCAACCGGTTTTAGTGGTAAAAATTCGCTTCCATAAATTGCCATTAATTGTTGATCAAGATGAACGGATAATAATTCTTTAATGGATTTTTGCCGTAAACACTTGGTAATTGCTGTCATATTGCCTAGGCAATTTAATTTCTCAGCAATTATTTTAGCTTTTGATTTTTCATGCGATTTACTTGCACATGCAGTATCCGAAATGGATGAACCTGATTGTAGAATGGCTCGATGAAAAAGACCACTGGCTAATGGTGATAATATCAGATTAGCTGTACTAAACGCGCCAGCAGATTGACCAAAAACTGTCACTTGATTAGGATCACCGCCAAAATAATGAATATTTTCCTGAATCCATTGTAATGCCAGAATTTGATCATAAAAACCTTGATTACCATTAGCCTGTTCTGATTCATCTCCGGTATAAAGAAAACCAAACGGTCCAAGCCTATACGCAATGCTAACAACGACCATATTACCATTAGCGGAAAATATTCCTCCATCATAGTTTTGATTGAAAATAGTTCCTTTTTTATATGCACCACCATGAATGTAGGCCATAACTGGACGTCGTTCTTTTGGTTTATTTGCCAATTCCATTGCTCTTTTAGTTGTCCAAACGTTTAGAAATAGACAATCTTCGCTAATCGTTTCGGTTTGATTAAAAAAATTACTACTTTTAATTCCAAGTTGTGGACAAGCTGCACGATATTCGATAGCATCATAAATATCTGGCCATGAATCAGCACGTTCCGGTCGATCAAATCTTCTTGCTTTACCATAACGAATCCCTTGATAAAGATAAATGTCTTCTGCGATTGTTGAAAAATTGACCATCACTTCATTCTGAACAATTCCACGTATTTTACCATAGTTTTTAAGTTCAATAATTGGTGCATGATGTTTAGAACAATCGGCCAAATTGGTCAAGCAAATAAAAAGCAATAGATTTATTAAAATTGTACAAATCATCATTATTTTCTTATACATAATGATTGATATACTTTGAACGGTAATTAAATGATAATTTTCAACACAATAAATACTCAATAAATTATTGTTTTATCATTTCATTTTATTAATAATCAAATCAATAACAAAGTATCCAAGGAAACAGATAAATATTTCTTTTTAAATTTTTTTATTTAATAAGATACAAAGACGTATACATTTATTATCGAATTTGTTGGATAATTCAAAACAATATTCATTATTAATATTATTCAATATTATTCAAATTCTATGTATCAACTTTTTTTTTAAAAAAATTACGTTTCCATAAAAAATTATACTAATGGCTTACACATTGAACCAGTATCGCTAACTATTATTGAGCCGGTGATATTACGAGCATCATCAGAAACAAGAAATGATGCTAAATTAGCAATTTCAATTGGATAGGCAACCATATCGAGCAAAACATATTTTCTTATTAACCCTTCCGCCTCCTCAGGTTTCATACCCAATGAATGATAGATTTGTGTCATTATCGGTCCAGGGCTATATCAAAAACGAAATCATTTATTATTAACCAATTGAAGATAATTTCTAATTATATGCACATACTTGATTGAATTGACTCGTATTCCTTTTGGTCCTAATTCTTGGGCTGAGGTTTTTGTAATCATATCCACTGCTGCTTTTGATGAACTATATAATAAGGAAAACTAAATATTCTATAGAAAATTTATTATTTTAAATTTATTAAATCATTTCATACCGGTACAAGTGATGCAATACTGGAAATATTTATTATATTTCCTTTAGTTTTTTCTAAATATGGCACAGCAAGTTGTATCAATTGAACAGCAGCTCGAACATTGATAGCAAAAATTCTGTCGAATTCGGCCATCAGATTATCACTCTCATGTCCTTTATCCAAAGTTGCAACACCAGCACAATTCACAAGAAAATTCAATTGTCCATATTCTTCAATCGTTTTTTCGATCAATTTAACGCCAAACGATTCATCGGTAAGATTACCTTGGATTTTTAGCGGACAATGGCCACTTTTATCTTCAATCTCTTTACCAACTTTTTCCAAATCTTCTGTCTCCAGACCGGTTATTGTTACACGAGCTCCATATTGAGCAAATTGTAATGCAATAGCTGCACCGATTCCAGAACTTGAACCTGTAATCAAAGCAACTTTACCAGTAAAATCATATTTCTTTACGATTGCCGATGTCATTGTTGTTTTATTCTGATGATTAAAATCGATCTGATGATGATAACGACCAGTTGGAATATGTTATTTTTCATTTGGATGGGGTTAGTTTATATACTACTGAAAACCAAGTCAGTTAATAGAAAAAAATAAGAGAGAAAATCATCGCTTTGAATTACGAAAACATTCATATGAAAGTTAAAAAAATATAAATTCATATCTGCTGTTATTTCAAATACAATCGATGAGGAATCAATGAATTCACACTCATTCATCATACATTCTTCAATCAAAATAATACATCACAGATAATAAACATTCAAAATTTCATGGTCAAATATAAGTTTTCATCAGAAAATACAAAATTTTCTTATTTTTGTAACTAAGAGATTTTTTGAAAGATGAATAAAACAGATATAGAAAAAACCCAAATAACTTTATTCGTTATTCTTTTCTATCATGAATTCACTTTATCTTCAATTATATCAAGCAATCAGTTTTTTCAGTTTTATTATGATAGGCTGTCTCAAAAAATTCATCAAGAGAGAATATTGGCCTTGAAAATGTTTTTGAGTATATAAACTATCTTTTCTCAATATAGAAATATAATTCCGAATAAAAAGATTACATCCACAAAATGAAGTTTATAATAACAGATTGAAATTGTTTTACTGTAATTAAAATTATCGTTAAAAATTTCCATGCAAAATAAAAAGAACTCGTTAAATAGTCATATACGAAGATTGTTTGGTAATTCATGCATTGATTTTTTTTTGTGTTTAGTTCATTTTTTTGACATCAACAATGCACCGGTATCACTAACGATTATTGAACCGGTAATATTACGTGCATCATCAGAAGCAAGAAATGATGCTAAATTAGCAATTTCAATCGGTTCGGCAGCCATATTCAACAAAGTACGTTTTTTAATTTCCTCTTCCATGTATAAAGGTTTTGTAGCAATACCCAATGAACGATAGATTGCTGTCACTACCGGTCCGGGACTATATTCAAAACAAAATCAAATGAGTAATTCAATCATCATATTTTCTAATTAGATGTACATACTTGATTGAATTGACTCGAATTCCTTTCGGTCCTAATTCTTTGGCCGAAGTTTTTGTTACCATATCCAATGCTGCTTTTGATGATCCATATATCAAAGAATACTACATTTATAAGAGAAATTTTATCATCATTTTCAATTTATCAAATCATTTCATACCGGCACAAGTGATGCAATACTGGAAATATTTATTATATTTCCTTTAGTTTTTTCTAAGTGTGGCGCAGCAAGTTTTATCAAATGAACAGGAGCTCGAACATTGATAGCAAAAACTTTGTCAAATTCGGCCATAAAATTTTCGCTCTCAAGACCTCCAATAGTTCCAATGCCAGCATTATTTACAAGAAAATCCAATTGTCCATATTCGGTAATCGTTTTTTCAATCAATTCATTGGCAAACGATTGATCAATAAAATCACCATGGATTTGTAGCGGGCGATGACCACTTTTATCTTCAATTTCTTTACCGACCGCTTTCAATGTTTCCGAATCTCGGCCAGTTATTGTTACTCGGGCACCATATTCGGCAAATTGTAATGCTATAGCTGCACCAATACCCGAACTTGAACCGGTAATCAAAGCAACTTTACCAGTAAAATCATATTTCTTTCCAACTGTTGATGCCATATTCGAGTAGTAGATCGAGGTACATGAGTAGATTGAAAATGTTAAACAAAAACAAAATACGAAAATTCATTATCGATTTTATTGATAATCAAAACATAAAGTCTACTTTAATCAATTATTATCAGAGAAAAAAAATTAACTTTATCAAAAACTTTTTTGTTTTTACTTGAAAACAATTTCTTTATTGTTGATCATAAGTTAAAATCATTCAATTATTAAGATAAGATTTATTTACTATCTTCGTTCAACAGAAAGATAAATGTCTTTTGGTGAAAGAAAACCGCCTTGATTATAAAATTCAACGGGAATTGTTGTTTTTGTACATTTTGAAAATTTAAAATTTTTTATCAACCATACCAAAGCCATTTTAGCTTCTAATAATGCTAAACTTTTGGCAACACAAGCTCGAGGACCAGAACCAAATGGTAAATAAGCATAATTAGGAAAATTGTCTGCTGTTTCTTTACAAAATCTTTCGGGTCGAAAATTTTCTGGTTCAGGAAAATATTCTTCATTATAATGCAAAGCCCAGACTGGTATTTGAATGATTTCATCTTTTTTTACTAAAAATTTTATACGATCATCTTCAGTTTTCAGAACAAAATCATTTTCACAACGTCGTTCCAAAAATGTTGCCGGTGGTGTCATACGTAATGTTTCATTAACTATTCCGTTTATGTATTCGAATTTTGTTCCAAAAGAATCTAAAACCAATGATTCTAATGGATCTTTGTCATCATCAAGTTGTTGTTGTTGTAAAATTCTTTCAACTTCTTGATATGCTAATTGTTGTTTATCCGGATTTAGTGCCAAATTATATAAAGCCATTGTGATTGTTGTTGCTGTCGTATCATAACCGGCTAAAAAGAATAAAACACATTGTGCAATCATTTCAGAATTTGTCATATATTTTACAGTTTTTTTCTCATCATCTTCATTGTTATTTTTTTGCTGTAACATATTATATTCGTGTTCAGCTTCGATAAGAAATTCAATAAAAGTTGATGCTTTTGAAAAATCTTTTTCAACAAATTCTTTTCTTTTACGTTCAATAATATCCAGTGAAAATTTGGAGAAAAATGTGACGACTTCATTATTAGGACGAATTTTTAATATTTTGCTAATAAAACTAGGCATAGAAAACATGATAAGGAACATTACTATGTTTTTTAGAGACATATCAGTATTGAATAATTTTTTAACGTTCTTAATGATAATATTATTAGGTTCTATTAACGAATCAATTTGACAACCAAATGCAACCTGTAGAATTGTATCCATAGTGAAAGCTCCAGCAAATTGTTTAATATTTAAGATACAATCCTGATCACCGGATTTTTTCAATTCAGAATCAATATTACGGATTAAGGTTCGACAAATTGAATCCATTCGAAATTTCATACGGCGTAGTTTGCCTGTAGCAAATGTTGGGGCTACGATTGCTCGCAAACGTTTCCATTGATCTAAATCGACGGCTGATAAAACATTTGCAAAAATATCATCATCAATGTTGAATTTCTAATCATAAATAAATTAATCAAGTATTAAATAAAAGTTGGAAACGAATGAAATTATTTCTTACTCGACGATTTGGGAAGTTGGTAAATTCTTTACTTAATACAACTTGAATTAATTCTGGCTCGGCAACAGCTATGTTAACTCCACCAAACATTTCAAATCCATAGACTTTTCCCACACGTTTTATATTTTCAAAAGATTCCAGTTCCAAGCGTTTTTTTGACAACAATACACTGAAAAATGATGGTAGTTTTTGATGTCGAATGCCGCGGCTCGTTATGCTCGAAATGCATTGTCGCTTTTTCCATTGATAAAACAGATAACCAAATGAAATGGACAAAACTATAATTGCTATGATTATTTGAAAAATCATTGTGATGATGATTCTAAAAACGTTTATTTAAATTAAATAAATTTATTTGCTAAAAGCAATGCATTTTAAACAAAAAAAAAAGAAATGGTAAAATCGAAAAATTTTTATCAACAAATAATTTAAGAATCATTATTAATGATTACATCAAAAGCCTTTTCATTTGATGATTGTTTCTTATCCTTTTAAATATGCAATCATGATGATTTAGACAACAACAAGAAAATAATGATAAGAGAAAAAACTTTCTATTTTCAAGGTCATCATAAGTTTTACTAATTATGTTTTGAAAATAATAATTTTAATAAAAATTAATTAAAAAAAATATAATTTATTAATAAAATTTTTGTTTTAATATTAAAATAAATTTCGTCGACTTCGGCTCCGCGTATTATATTTATTGTTTGTCTCTTTACATTTTTGTTCTGATTGAAATTCGTGAAACTTTAAATAGAATGAATAAAAAAAAATAAGAATTAGAAAACAAAAGAAAAAAATATAATTCAATGCATACCATTGCGTCAGGTGAAATCAAAGATGATGGACTTAAATCATCTTTGGCAATTTTAATTTTCTTAACCGATGACATTTGTTGGTTAATAACTGTTCTTTTATTCTTTTTAACGGAAAATATATCATTATTATCTTCTGTAACTAGCTGTAATTTTAATTCATTTTTTAAACGTTCAATTTCTTTCTGTTGGTCATTCTTTTCCTTTTCAATAGCTTTCATATTTGATAGTAAGTCATTATTTTTTTGATGTAATTCGTTTGATTCTTGTTTTAATGATTTAACATATTCGTTAACTTTTTTTAAATTTTCTAATTTTTGATCGATTATTAGCGTATATTGTTTTAATGTTTCATCAATGTTTTTCATGTCGTTCAATTTGCAATTGAATTGATCGAAAGAATCGCTAATCATTTTAGTAATTTCCTTTTCATAACAAATAACATTTGTCCTTAGGTTTTCTTTTTCCGCCATCATCGTTATGAATTTTTGTTCAAGATCATTGAATTCTTGAACTTTTTGTTGCAATTCTTCTTGCTTTTGTTGAGATTCTACCAACTCTGTTTCGGCCTCGAATAATTGACTTTTGAGTTTTTCATTTTCACTTATTTTCGAGTCCAATTCAGATTGATATTTATCATTATTGCAATCCATACGCAATAACCATAGCTTATCATTGCGTTTTAATTCTTCTTGGTGATTTTCTTTCAGTGTTTTCATTTGATCTTTAAGATCGGCAAGTATTTCTCCATATTCTTCATGACAACTTTGAAGATCTTTTTCAAGAATTTGTTTTTCCTTCGTTAATTCATCACAAAGACAATTATTTTTTTTCATACACGTTTCTTCATCATTATTATTTTCTTCTTCATCTTCATATTCGTCCTCAAATTCATCGTTTTCATCAATATCATCAAGATTATGACCAGGTAAAATGGTCAATCGCCTTTTATATGGTGTCATCACTGAAGTAGGCACCGATTTAATATTATTGCAAAAATTCAATGAAAAAATAGATTCATCAAATAATTGGGTTGAAGGATTGAGATTTATTATTGTACTGAAAGAACCGCCATTTGAAAAGAGATATGGCTGTAAGACATGAGTTAATTTCGAAGAACGAAATGAAATTCGATGTTGACTATGAATAAATAAAAATTAGAAAAAATTTCAAATGTAAACAAAAATTCTTACTCTTTTTTTTCAGACAAAGCTGAAATACATTGTTTTAAAAGACACAAAGATTGATTAATCTTACTGGTTTCTTTTGCACGTTGTCCAACATTGCCCGTTTTAGCGATACGTTCGGCTCCAGCAAGATCACAAAAATTTATGCTGGATGTAAATGATTGTTCAGTCGAATGATTAACACGTACCAATGTTAACTTGAAAATTGAGTGTGAACGACTTGAACTTAAATTTAATGCTGTCTGAGCAATATGTTTTTTCAGATTATTTTGTCCAAACAGATAAACCATATAAGCATCTGAGGCTGATTTGACAAAAACTTGACGAAGACCGTTTACATAATATTGATCTTTGCCATCTTTAACGAGCATTACTTTTGGTTCAGGCTCATTTTTATAACGGACATTTAATAAATCAATAATGTAATCGTTATAGATTTCGAAATAAGAAACCCATAAGTTGACTTCTTGTTTTCCTTTGAATAATGTTTGTAATGATTCAATATGATCATGATGATTTTGACAGATCATATTTTCGGTTTTATCAAAATTTTTTAAATCTTCATCATTTATGGAATTTTCTACCATATATCTGCGTATTTCATCTTCATATTGTTGATCACTTTCCGTTAATCGTTTACGATCAGAAAAATATATTGGCTTATATGTAGGCAATCCCATATCCATTGATTTGATAAACGTTTGAAATAGTATGACAAATGAATATGGAAGAATACCAGGCTGCCGTAAATTTCCTTTCATTGTAAAAGTTTTTCCGGATGATGTAACACCAAATGTGAATACTAAAGAATTTTTTCCAACAATTAAATCCTTTAGTAATGGCAGAGTACAATCTTTGAATACATCAAATTGACTAGATTCTATGCCGAATATCTTGTCAAAACAATATTCATCAGTTTTTTTAGGTTTTTTTTCGATCAAAAATTTATTGCCATTAATTTTGTATCTTGAATCCATTGCGACATCGGATCGGATTCGAAGAAATGTCTTTATTTTTTGTTCATTATGTTCACCACCATCAAAAGATTTTTGTTCAATTGAATCACTCGTCGAATCAAAGGTAAGATTTTCCAACGCTAAACTTGACGAAGAATCATCATTTTGTTCGAAATCCATCGTCGAGGTAAATGTAGAAGCCATTCTTGAAACAATAAAAACTATGAAAACTTGCGAATAAAAATGACCGTAATGTAAACGTATTTCGAACGAATAACGAATGAAGCATGCTGCAGCATCAAAAGTTAGCAAAATTGTTTACGCTCAAAATGACCGTTGAATTTTTTTTTTCTGCTGTGCTCTGATTGGCTGAGAGAAAATTAAAACAGTGTGCTCTTCATATACGTCGTATAACAATCAAGCGCATGTTTTTCAAGTTCGAATTTAATCAAATAAAAAATAAATGCTTTTAATATTTGATCATTTATCCAAAATATTTGAAAAAAAATCACTGGATATCAGATCGTAATTTTTTTAGCTAAAATATGTCAAAATTCAAAATGATACAGTTGTTCCTAATCATACAGGCAACCAATATTCCAATGGTTTATTCACTATTTTTATACGCTGTTCATGATTTTGGTAAATTTTCATTTGTTTATGAAATTTAAATCCAAATCATTTCATCGTTATTATTATTATTTCATCATATAGTTGGTCATTCACCACCAAAAATTGATGCAAAACAAACAAATGACGGTTTTAAAGATCAAAATTTAATGGAATTAATCGAACGTGGTAAGAATTTATCGACAACAGCTCATAAAAAATTATTCGAACATAAAGATAACGTAAAAATAAACAAATATCGACGAATGGTCGTACAAGATTTAGATTATTTGGAATTGATAATCAAACGTGCTGAATCGTTTATTCCATGTGTCAATAATCCATTTATGGCCAAATTGATTGCATATACTCGTAAAGATTTAGAGGTAACAATCGATCGTTTTGAAGTGATAATGATGTTATATGATCAAGGTGATGATCAATCAATGCCAACATTAACATTATTCGTACAACAATTAATCGATCAAAGTAATAATGATGTTGGTTATCTAAATTCTCATGGACATTGTGAATATGCGGATAAAATTTCTGAACAAAGTGCTAGAATACAGAAAATGTTATTGAATCTTAAAGAACAAATGGATCAATTAGATGATCGAAAATTTTCGAATAATGTTCGTCAATTACTTGTATCAATGATTGATTTTGAAAATCTAATACTTGAAGCCGAAAAACAATCCAACATTAATTCTGTAATTCATTGAACAAAATAAATATCATGTTAAATTAAAATTTTCAATTTATTTTGAATGTTTTTGTTTTGTTTTTATAATAAAAAAAAATTTTGACAATCATAATTATTAATTAACTGTTAACATTTATAATGATAATAATAAATTAAATGAGAAAATAAAAGTTTTTATTTCATTTTGGATAATTGTGCATCTTGTTTGGTGGTTATCATCACATTCGGTGAAAGAAATTCCGTATAGAATACACACATTTCATATGACTGCTACAAATGACAGAAAAAAAAATTAGTTCAGTTAACAATTTACAACAACAAAAGATGCATAACATGAATGTTCTTTGTGGTAATCATAAAAACCTCAACATAATCAACAATATGTTGACAAAATCTTCAATCGAAATTTTTTTTGTTTCGAATGAATTATAAAAATAGAATATGCTGCTTCGTAACGAAAGTAGTAGTTTTTTTTTTGTGGAAAATCTTTTAATTTCTGTTGATTTTTCTGCTGTTTTTTTTCCCAATTATCATTTAGCAATGTTTTTTTAAATTCATTTAATATTCAATATATTGTGATAATAAGAATGAAAAAAAATGTTTCAAAAATTTAAACGAAGATTTTCAACAACATTAACCATACCGAATTCAGAACAAGAATCATCTGATTCATTACAGATCGATGATAATGAAATAGAATTATCGGAAAAAGAAATTCAATTAGTACGTGATACATGGACAGTATTACGTAAGGATTTAGCTGGTTTTAAATTTTTAGGTGCCGAACTTTTAGTAAGGTAAGTCGATTGTTTTTTTTCAAATTGGTGATCTAATGATCAAAAAAATTTTTTCCCCACATATCAGATTTTTTACCAAATATCCTGATTATCAACAAAAATTCAAATCATTCAAAGATATTCCAATAAATTTTCAACAAAATCATTCAATACGTATTGATAAAAAATTAATGGCACATGGTACATATGTAATGTATACTATTGGTATGTTGGTTGATAATCTGGAAAAACCGGATATTATGATACAAATGTTAAAACGTTTAGCACGTAATCATTATCGTCGTCGTATTAGTTTGAAAGCATTTGAACAACTTCGTGATACATTATTGGAACATTTATTGGATTTACTTGGTCAACAAATATTTAATAAAAAAACAATGATTGCATGGCGTAAAGCATTCGGATATTTATTGAGAGAAATTGAAAAAAATTTTAAACTATTAGAATCAGATATTGAACGTTCAGGAAGTTATTATCGATTAAATTCATTACATGATAATGCTAAACATGAAATGATGCAAGATTATCGACGTAATTGTTTATTTGATTATCAATTACGTTTACGAAAACGTAGTGAACAATATAATTCAACATTACGAACAAATCAATTGATGAATAATTTGAAATATTCGACAATGTTAAATGAATCATTGATCAACAAACAAAAGTATAGTGATTCTGAAATCGATCAGCCAAAAATTATTGTAAATCAACAACCTAATTCATTGATAATTCAACCAGTATTACACCAGTCTATGATATCATCATCATCATCTTCAAATCATCCATCTCAGCCATCGAATCAAATTCAACAAACATCTATTCCAACATCATCAACATCTTCACCTGTTACACAGACAATAAATATTTTGCCAACAACAATAAACGATCGAAATACACATAAAATACAGAAAAAACCGGATAAATCGAAAAATTTTCTATGGAAACTTTTAGCAAATTTACGAAAAAAATTCTAATATGACAAGGATATTTAAAATTTTTTCCTTTTCAATTGTTATTTCCGTTAAAAAAAATTTGTCCTTAATATTTTTTAAAATGAAATTTTGACAACGAAAAACTTGTGATCTATTTTTGGCAACATTATTTTATGCATATTCTGTACGAATTTTATTCTGGCTTGATTAGCTCGTTTCTATTTTCTAATTTCTATTCAAATTAAAAACGATGTCATATTACAAACAATAAAATGTTTTCATTCATCATCATTGTGAGTCGTAGAAAATGATATTATTGCCATGCATTTTTAATATTCGCACATTTCTATTCGAATGTTTATTTCAACAAAAGTCGAATATCAACTAACTGAAATATGATGAATAATATTTGTGAAGAATTCGGTGAAGAAGAATTACAATCATTACGAATACAATGGGATAAAATTGTCCATTATCAACATGAATGTTTTGGATTGAAATTATTTCTCAGGTACTATAGTTTTGTTTTTGCTTTAAATTGATAATATTTTTTTCCATTATAAAACAGATTACTCGATTTACATCCGGAATATTTATGTTTATTTGGATTTACATGGGATGAATTCAATTATCATGAAACAATTCGTCTTCGTGCTCATGGTGTAAATGTAATGTACATGTTAAATATGTTGTTTGATAATCTAAACGATATGGATATGTTCGATGAAATGATTTGTAAATTAATACGTTTACATTTAATGCGTGGTATACAAAAATCCTGGTTCGATGATATATGTGAACCATTCGAAACAGTATTAAAAGATTTTAGTCAAAAATTAAATATTGAACATCCAGAATTTATACGTAAAGCATTTATGTTTGTTAAAAATCGTATACAACAATTATATGATGAAAATTTAACAGAAATATTATTGGATCAAAATTCGGATACAAGTGAAACATATTGATGATAAACGTTTATCAAGAAAGCTTATCATTTTAAACATAAGAATATCTATTATTGAAATTAGCTAAGTTAATGTCGTAAAAAAACAATATAAAAGAATATTATTATCAACTTAGAAAAGGTTGTTATCAGTCAATCATGATTACAATACACGCACATACACAAACACAATAAATTTGTTTGATAACGTTATATGATAGTGGAATTTTAAAAAATTAACATATAAATAGTATGTATTTGAAGCGTAGAAATGATCATTATTCTATTGATCAACAATATTGGTCAACAACAAAAATATATTCAAAATGATGAAAATTTTTTCGGTTACATTTTTTCTATTAATTTCGATTGGAATATTATTTATTATCATCGAGAAACAAAATCAACATTTATCAAATGAATCATTTGAAATTGATTCGAAATCAAATGATACAATAATTCATCGTATACGTCGTGTTGTTAATGGTGAACCAACACCTATTGAATTATTTCCATGGACAGTTATGGTTATCAACAAAGGTCGCTGTGGTGGTGTTCTTATACATCCGCAATGGATATTGACAGCCGGTCATTGTATTGTTAATGAAAATCCAATAGTATTTTTTGGTCTTGATCAATTATCGATGGCAACCAAATCAATGAGAAGAAATGTGATTGAAATTTATAAACCAGCACGACATTTATTTACAACAGCCGATTTAGCATTATTAAAATTATCGGCACCAGTAATGATAACATCACGTTCACATCCGATACGAATGAATCAAGAATCCAGAAAATCATTATTGGGATTTGAAAGTAGAATGGCTGGATTTGGTCGTAATATTGAACGAAATGAACGTCTTTTGGCTGGATATTTTCATTTACAACCAGTATTTATGTTTTCATCAAGAGATATTATTGGTGCACGATCACGATCGCATTCACCTTGTTATGGTGATTCCGGAAGTGGATTAATAATTGAACGTAATGGTAAACCATATTTGGTTGGTATAACCAGTTCAATATTGGCAGCTAGCTGTCAACCGAATAATGTTGCATTATTTACCGATGTTTCATTTTACTATAAATGGATTATTGGAAAGATGGGTGATGATTATCAACATGAACAACAACAACAACAAAATGAACATAAAAACGATGATATTTTTAATGGGATAGACAATTATAATGAAAATTTTGACAATAATCAATATGAAGAAAATTTTATTTCACCGCAACTACCACCACCACCATCGCCAACCCCAAAACCATTACAACCATCACAATCAATTATACCACGATTTGATAATAGACAAGATTGTTGGCCAAATATATTCATTCCATTTACCAATTATAAATTGATGTTATGCAATTCACGGTTAAGATTTGTTCATCGTAATATTATTGATAATGTAAACAAATCTTTTAATTCAACAATGTTTTCAAATAATGAAACAATAATTAATCAATATGGTAATGATACAATTATAATCACGTGACACGTGATAATTTTTTTAAAATTTAAATCATCATTTCAATTCAAATTGAATTACATTATTGTATAGCATATTATCATAAGTGCATTGTTGATAAATTTTAATAAATAATAATAAAACAATGAACAAACAATGAAATTATCAAAATTGATTATTAACCATAATTATCATTAGTGATTGATTTTTTGACAATTTATGTGTCTTGGTGTTTGTGTTAATGATTATTATCATTATTAGATGATAAATAATTCAGTTTGATCCATTTTGATCTTAACATTTGATCCAAAAAAAATTGGATCAACGGATGGATGATCTTATTCGGTTGCTTATGACAAGTTCAATTTATATGATAATGATGATGATGATGGAAAAAGAAAAAAAAACATGTCAATCTCAGAAGATAATGTAAAGGAAATAAATTTATAAAGGAAAAAAAATTAATGCATTTTGCTAATTGACAATGATTGAAAATCTTTATCATTTTCATTAGATGTTTTTTCCCAAACAAACCAAAAGTTCATGTATTGTTTTAAATTTTAAATATGGGTTGGTTATCTCTCAATATTGTGCATTCAAGGAAGAAAAATCCTTTTTTTCCTTACCTGAATTGAAAAAAAGGTTTGTCATCATTCAGCTATAATTATTATTAAATTTTTTGAAAAATGAAAGTTGGTGAGAAAACAAAAACAAAAATCATATAAAAGCGAAATGATTTGTTCCAGGCGAATCTTCAAATACATTTTGCAAAAAAAAAATTATCTAATGAATTTATTTTGTTGAAAAAAATTTGAACAAAAATGTTCAAACATTCTATTTCGATGACAATGTGGACAACAATTATTTTAACGGTTTGTTTTATTTGTTCATTGTTTCCGACAATTGAATCGAATCCAAGTTTAATTCTAAAATCGGGTGGAAAAAAAGGTGGTTCAACGTAAGTGTTTATTTTTTTCTGGTGTTTGCACGTGTTTTATATTCAAAATTATGACCTGAAGATGGAACCTGTGTTTTCTCTAATTTTGTTTCTTTTTTTGTAAATTCTTTGTTCTATAGAATTATGTTTCCAAATCATAGTAAATGTGGTATGCCAACCATATTGAAAACTAGTGGAAAAAGAAAGGGAAAAAATCTGTAAGTTAAATTTTTTAATGTTAATGTTTTTTTAACAAACAAAAAAAAACGATTTTCAGATTTATATTAGGACATGATGAAAAATGTAAAGAAGAATATAAACCATATTTTTATCCGGTACATAAAGAGGAAAAATATCATCATCATGAAGAACATGTTTCGGTAATGCCTGTTCATGGTTATAGTCATGGATCATCTTATGGTGGTGGCGGCGGCGGCGGTGGCCATGGTTATCAATCTTATGGTGGAAGTCATGATTCTTACAGTGGTGGCGGTAGTAGTGGAGGTGGTGGCGGTGGTGGATCAATGAGCTATTCAGATATTGATCCATATCAAGCATATGGATCATATCATTATCCAGTTTATAATCATTATGGTCAACAACAATATCATCAATATGGTTATCATCCATATGGTTTTTACTAAATAAATAAATAAAATATAAATTCATAAAATAAATTGATTTTATAATAAATCCAGTTTTGTAATTTTTTTTTAACAAACTAATGAAAAAGAGAAAATTCTTACCTCAAACAAACACACACACAAACATCATAATGATAATCATTATTATTATTTTGTCCAGATTCAATAAAAAAAAAGAATTCAATGTTATCTTTTATGTTAAATGTTAAAAATTATAAATATTCGCACACACACACAATGTTTGTATATTCAGTTGTATCCGATGAAATTTTTTCTTTTTCTCTACAAAATATTCAATTTGATGATGATGATGATGATGGTTTGATTCTCATTAATATTTATCTCAAACATCCCATCCAAACATACATACATACATATAAACATTGGCCAGATGGTCTAATAAAAATGAGAATTTTTATCTATATATAACAATTCAGATTTTTTTGTTGGGATTTTTCGGGTTGGCTAAACATCCTGTGAATGTATGAACCGAAAAACAAAAACGAATACACAATGGCTCCATAAGAGAAAGAGAAATTGTCCTTTTTTTTGCTTCCATTAATTCTTATTCTTTAGTCTTTTCTTTTACATTATATTCTTTGTTCACAATTCCGAAAAAAACAACATTTTAATGTAAAAAATTGTAATTTATTCTTCACACAATTCTACAAAGAATTTAACATTGGTTTTTACACACACACACGATCATCATGATTATCTGTCAACCAATGTGAGATAAACATATGATAGAATTTTGAATAACAAATTTTTTATTTTGAAAACAAACAAACAAAATTATAATAATGTTATTTCATTGTATTTTTGTCGATTGTTCTGACCATTATTATTATCATAAGTTAGATGGACAACATTGTTTTCTGTTTTTGTTTTATACAAAATTTGAAATTTGATTATCAAATCAACAACAAATTACCATGTAAAATTGGTGTTTATTTATCCAAACATTTTTTTTCTGTGATTGTTTCCAATTTACAAAAATAAAAAAAAAACATTGGCCAGGAGATAAACGAAAGAGACAGGAAAATTTTCAACTTTTTTTCTCTAGTTGTTCAACTAATACCAAACGGTATTTCAGTTTTGTTTTTTCTTTTCATCTTCATTCAAGTTTTGACGTTATATAATATGACATCATTTATATTTCACATCATTATCATCATACATGGACCATAAATACACTTGACCAAAATTGAAATATGAAACATTAATGAGAATAAATGTCAAAAAAAAATTGAGTAAAATTATTTGGAAAAACAAATTTTCAAACATCATATTAATATGAAACAGAAAGAGAAAAAAATAGCATTTCTTCATTCACCGAATGGATTTAACATTCATTCACTCAAAAATAAATGAAAGACTGAATATGATTGCCTTGTAAATAACCATTAAAAATTCTGGATTCTTTTTATTTTGATGGGAAAATTTTCGTTCTACTACTTTTCTAATAATAATTGAAATGAAATGAAAAATAAACAAACGGAAAAAATTCAATAGAAAACGTTATGCAAGTTGTACAAGTTCATCATCATCATAACTTTTTTTCCTACTGAAGATTCAGATAACCATCAAAACCAATGTATAACATGTTCATTATGTAATATAATGGTTAGAATGATTTGTCAATTGCTAAATAAGTTTTGGTTTGTTTGTTTGTTTTTTTTATATCCAGGCCGTTGGAGTAATAGGGTGAATGTAATGAGGAAAAAAACTAAATTAGTGCCATATATATGATATTAATGAATATTGAATGTATAAATGATGATGGTTATGGTTTTGTTTATTGTGAAGCCAACCAACCAACCAACATCATTTATACTGAAATCAACGGGGTTAGTTTTTTTCATATCATTTTTCCCTTTTTTTAGTTTTTAGTTTTTTACTTTTGAACATTCATTTTAATAATAAATGAATTAAGATTGTAACTTTATTTTTATGATGGTTATAAGAATTTTACATATATAGGATTCTCGAACATCTTTTGAATTTTATTTTGTTGTTGAACATCGACTACAATCTTGATAATTCAAATCTAAAAAAAAAGAAAATAAGTATGGAACAAAGAAAAAAAACAAACTAAAATTTTCATTCATTTTTTGGAAAATATCTTGAAACCTTAGCATTCATAAAAAAAAGATTCATCATTTGACAACAACAACAACTAGAGAAAAATAATAATAAAGAATTTTGTTTCCAGCGTAAAATCAGCTTACAATTTTTTTCTCCAATGTTGAAATAGAATTTTTGTTTATTTTGGTTTGAAATGAATGATTGAATTGAGATAAAATGAAATAATTTACAATGCGACACCAACAACAACAAAATTCTAATTCCATTCAATTCGGATCAAAGTCACCGAGTGAGTAAGTGAAAAAAGAATCCTGACATAAACGACAACAGCAACAACAAAATCGACAAATATAACAACACAGATGAATAAACATAGTTTAATTGAAAAATACGAAAGTTTTACTTTTTTTTCTATTTTTATTATTGTTGTTATTCTATGCAGAGAATTGAAAAAGTTTTCAAGCAAAACAAAAAAATTATTTAATTTTTGCTTCACAGATATGTTTGTATCATTCCAAAATATTTACGTCATTGTGGCCGAATATATTCTGTTTTTCGTTTCCAATTTTTTTTGGGCAGTGAAAAAAATATAAATTTCAGCTGCTACTTATTTGGCTGAAACAACTTGATTGTATCGTCATTTACATCGATTTATTCAATATAAAAAATGAATTCATTTTTTGTTCTTGGTGATCTTTTGCTGTTTCTGGTATAGATCCTATTATATTGAACATGATGATGAGCGAAAGTTTTCTGTTTTTTTTATGGAAAACGTGTCGATGAAAAAAATCGAGCATCACCACATAAGAATGATAAGAAGTAAATTGCCAAAATTTTTTCTATTGGGAAATTTCAATTTTTTTTTTCATTCTTTGAAATTTTTCTTATAATTTCATTTGAAAAAAAATTTAAATTTTAAATTTTTTTTTCGAAATTTAGTGAACAATACTTTGCTGATTAGTTGATTGTTTGGTTTTGTTTTTTTTTTTTTTTTTTGGTTCGCAACATAATGGATGACAGAAAAAAAACAAAACGAAATCGTTACATTTGCGAATGAGTGAAGAACATAATTAATAATCATTATAATTTTTTTTAAAGTGTGTGTGATCATGAACTAATCTATTTTTTCTAGTCACATTAATATTTTCAATGATTTGCTAATCAATCATTGAAGAATTCAAGAATTTCGAATCTTATAAAGAGAAGAAAAAAAGGAATGATAAGAAGAAGGAATACATCCTACATTGGCCAATCAATTCATTAATATAAATTTGATGGTGGAAAAACAAAATCCAGATTTACATGTGTGTTGAAATGGATCATATTTGGCAAAAAATTAAAATCATCATCATCATCATCATTATTATATTGATATCCGATTATTTTATTGCGAAATATTTTTTTCCCATCAATATTTCATAATGACAGATCATCATCATCATTATTTGTTGTTGTTTTTCTAGGAAAAATAAAAATATTTTCGTAAAATTTCCATCAAAATTTTTTTTTGTTTTCGTTTTTGTTTCATATATGATTTATTGATTGACATCGTTGTTGAGTATATGGGAAAATTTCTAGATCCATTTTGATTCAATTCTTTTTCCAGTAAAAGAAAAAAAATGATAGTTAAAAATTCTTTCGAAAAAAAACAAAACAAAACAACAATTTTATCATTATGTTTGTCGATTGATTATAAATTATTCAATGGATGTCCATACTTTTCTGTTTATTTGTTTGTTTGTTTTTTTCTTTGTAAACTCTTTATTTATTTATAACTTTTAGTTTCAAAAAGTTTTGTTTTCTTTTTAAAAAATTAATTTAATTTTTAATTTAGAAGAAAAAACAAAAAATTCTATTTTACTTTGATTATCATCATGGAATTGTCACCGGAAAAAAAAGAAAGTTCATCCACTTTATTTCCAGAAAATGATGGAAAACAAACAAACAAAAAAAGTTAATTGAAATCCGCCTATTGAAATTTGATTGAAAAACCTATATGTGGTGTTCTTGTTTTCACTGCAACAACAACACATTATCATAATGATTAGCATGGAAACAAATAACAAAGAATAAAAAAAATCACAACCACACCAAAAAAAAAACCAAATAATCGCAATGAAAAAAGGCGTAACATCATTTGTAAATCATAGAAAAACATCATCAATAAGAAAAAAAAGGTGAAAAAAACAATAAGAAAAAATCACCAAAATGAAAATTGATGTCATTTCATCTTTGTCTGTTTTCTATTCTTCTTTTTTTTTGGTGAGTTTTTCACAAATTCCGGAAAAGTATTACATTTTTTTTCTATCATTTCGATTAAAAAAAATTTTCTCATATTATTATTTTCATGTATTTTTTTAACGTCAACATTACATCACACACACACACAAACACATTTATTGCTTAATTTCGTGTTTGCATGTCATTTTTTTTCATTCGTTTGACTATATTGTAAAAACATGCAAACACTTACATCACATTCAAATACACACGTGTTATGTATAGAAAAAAAAAGTTTTTATTGCACAATACAAGCAAGCCAACAAAAAAAAGTGAAAAAATTTTTCTAGGTAAAAAAAATTCTGTATGACAAAAATGTATTTGGAAAGAGAAAATATCTATAGTGTGTAAAATCCAAGTTGGCGATGATTGTAGTAGTAGTGATGGTGTTGGGAAAGTGAATAGGAAAAAGGGGAAAAAATACAAATCTGGTTCTTGTTTGTTGTTGTTGCTTTTTTTGTTTTTGAACATGCCAGAAGCCAGATTTTTCTTTTAAATAGCAATATTCAATAGAGAATGTAATTGTTTTTTTTGTTGTTGTTTGTTGTTGCTTGGTTGCTTTCATTCATTCATCATATAATACAGAATATGATTCGTTTCAAGTAATTCTCTTTCGCTTTCTCTCTCTCTTCCTCTTTTTCATTTATCATAATCATTTTCTCTTGATTTTGTGTTTTTATT